GTCAGTTGATACAAGAAAGTAAGGGAGAGAAAAGTTAAAAATGATGGAGACTTTAAAATGTTAATATTAACAATGTTGAGCTATCTTTGGATAATATAATTTTCTCTTTGATTTTTTTGCATTTTCTGTAACAATCTGCTATCATATCTATAATTACAGTAAAATAAATTAACTTTATTTTTAAGTAAACTGAGGATGGTTTTGAACCTAGTTCACTTTGAACCCTGCTAACAATTGACAGATATTTTAAAAATGAGATGAGGTGTTGTATGTCAACTACACTTTAGTAGTAAAAAGAAAAAAAAAATTAAGTGAGATGAGGTGAAGGAATTGGTTAGAAGGAAGGGAGAATATCTTGCGTTTTCATTTAGAAGGAGATTGAGGTCTTAGATTATCCACGTGAAATGGTATTCAGGCTATTGAAGATTAGAACTAACTGGGAGTAATGAATATAGATTTAGAATTAAATGTTATCTGCAAGATAAGGTATAGATGAGAAATCCAAGGAAAAGACTATAGATAAAATTACAGAATTAAAGTCACAGCATCAACTTGGAGAATGCCTCTGTTTAAAGGGAGTGGGAACAGTAAGTGGCCTACAACAAAAACCAAAAAAGCAGAGAAGAGAACCAAAATAATACATTGTCGAGGATGCCAAGAGAAGAATTTCAAGGAGAGGAGGTAGTCAGTCATTTGATGTGCTTCAGAAAGGGCAAGGAATTACAAGACTGATAAGGCTGTTGGATTTGAGAGGTATTAATGACTTTCAGGAATATTATAGTCAAGTGGACAGAGTAGAAGTCAGATTGCTGGGAGAAATTGAGTAATTTGCTGAGGAAGTAGAGAGACAGCGGGTGTCAGTCACTAATTTGACAAATGTGGCCAAGAGAGAAAGTAAAGTTTTGGGGAAGTGACAAGAAGGCTAACAGAATTAAGATAGGGGACTCCTGTACCAGGAGCCAGTAGAAAGTCAGAGAGTGAAGATGAAAGGAATAATGGAGTGCTCAAGATCATAGAGGAAACAGATGAGGAAATGGTAATTTTACAACCAGAAGAGACTAAGAATCATCTTTTTTTACATTTTTTCTCAAGATTATGTAAGCCTCATTTTATAGATGGACCTGGTAAACCGAGACTTACAGAAGTTAAATGACTTGTTCAGAGTCAACCAGCCATTTAGATGATGGATCAAAGGGGTGGGAAGGGATTTGTCATGAACTAAGGGCTGTCCTTCCCCTCTTCCTCTGGGATTATGAACAGAAAGGAAGGCAAAATCGATAAACAGATGCACTGAGATAGTGATAATTGTATGTTTCTTTTAAGGTAGAAAATTGTATGTACCACCAAGTGTCTGAGATAGGCTAAAAAACACATTTGAATAAAATATTCAGTTCTCCTTGCTTGAGAGTGGAGAAAATGATACTTAGAATGCTTTGGTTGAAGCATTTAAAAACTACCTCTTCAGAACCACGTGTAACACCCTATTATGTAAAAGCAAAACACCTGACTTTATGCAGCAAAAGTTTAACAGATATCTTGACATCTTCTGCTTTCTTGTGTTCCAGCCTTAGGCCCTAAAGGTCAGTATGCTAAAATTCTTTTTTAAAAAGTAATCCTCCAATGTCAGGCAGTACTGGTGATAGCTAGCTAGCTTCTATGCCAAAGGTAGCATATACGTTGATTTTCCTTGCCAAGACAAATGCTGTAAACATGGACCCTCCATTCCATCACTGATTATGAGTTTCTGTCCAGGTACCAATTGCAGCAATGAGATACAGGTTTTTGTGGCCCCTCACCCCACTCCCATCAGACTCATCTGGGGACTCCTTTCGAATTACCAATCAAGGCAAGAAGTCTCAAGTTCTAAAAATAGTCAACAGTGACTCTCAACAATGACTTCTCACACATCCTTTTTTTGTTTGTTTTTAAACCCCAAGGAATGCAGTCTATACTCTGGAATGTTCCTCTTACCAATATTCTGGAATGGCACAGCCTCTTAAATTTTGTCTTTGCTTTTGCTAAAGAGTAGGGTGATTAAGTTAAAGATGATTTATCTTGTTTGCTAATATTTAGAATCTCTTCTGTGGTAGTATTTGTTGTGGAAGTAAATCAAGTCATGGCTTTGAAAGCCATCCCAGTGTGCATTTTCTGCTACTCTGAATATCAAAGAACCATAGAGTCAAGTCAGCTCTCAGTTCTGTAGCAGCCAGAAGCAAATAGTCTGTTTTGTGTTAGTGAAGCAGAAAGGCTGAAAACAGTAACAGACCCTGCAATAGGTATGATAAGTCTGTGGACTTAATATAAGTTGCCAGTATTGAACAGAGAAGGTAATATAAATATGTCAGTTTCCATGCCACACAGGCCATAGTCTAGGGTCATTGCTTGTCAAACTTTAATGTGCATAAGAATCTCCTGGAGATGAGAATCAGATTCTGATTTAGAGGCCTGGAGTGGGAGGGGCTTGGGTGGTAGCCCTGAGAGTCAGCATTTCTAACAAACCCCCTGGTGTCCTCGGACCACATTTAGACTAAAAAGGTTCCAGGTGGTAAATAGCAGCTGATATGACCTTGCCTTCAGGCTCTAGAAGGTGGCTGCAACAGTGACTGCTGAGAGCTATTGCTTCACAGATTTTTTTTCTGTAAAGGGCCAGATGTAATGGGTAAATATTTTAAGCTTTGTGACCACAAGTCTATGTTTCATATTCTTCTTGGTTTGTTTGTTTGCTTGTTTTTACAACTTAAAAAATGTTTTAAACCATCTTAGCTCTGAGGTATACGTTTGGCTTAGAGCAAGAAGCCTAAGTCATATCCATTGGGCTTGTCAAGTTAGCCCATGGCTTCCAGGCCTGGCATTGGTATAAGTCCCTTATTTTATCAGGGCCTCTTGGGATGACTGTGGAGGAACCATAAGGATTAAGGATGACAGTTCCAAAAGCAATAAAAGAACTTTACAGGAAGATATGTGTGTTTGTTGGAGGGAGAGGAGATAAAATTATTTGGAAGAAAATGAAAAGAAGCTACCATTTTTATTAACCCACATAAAAAATGAAAATCTCTAAAAAGTATTCACATTTAGATCATAAATAAGATCTGGCCAGAACTTTATGGTGGGCCCGGAATACATTTGACTTCTTTATTTTGTGATCAGCCTATTCTTTGGGTCAGTACAATGTCCAGTCATGGTTAAGAACTTGGTCAAACTTGTGTCTGAATCCCAGTTCTACTGCTTATTAGCTGAGTAACTTTGGTCAACTTGTTTAACTCTTCTGAAACATTATAATATCCCTGCTACTTGGGGTTGTTAATATTAAGTAAGAATATGTATTTGAAGTCCCAGCATAGTGCTTAGCACTTAGAAAACAATAAGTGGTGGCTGTTACTGTGTTGTTATGGTTGTGACTGAATTCTATAAAAGAATCAGCTCCATGACTAATTGTCAGGCTGTCCTTTAGGGTTGTCCTAGATTATGGCCCTCATGGTATTCATGTCCTTGTTAATGTCTCTGCAGACATACTGGGGAAACTTGAACCTATAGCCCTTAATAACAACATATTTAACTTCTGCAAAACCAGTAGAAACCTCAGTAGTGCACAAGACAAGTCCCTATTCCATGTAATTTTAAAAGTGGGATTTCCTTGGGCGAAATCCTACCTTTAAATATCAAGAGATTGATAGAGTATCTTCCCAACTTGGCTATCAGTAGCTATTCCCATTGCTTATTTTGAGGAATATTGAAAACAGTTTTGCTCTCATTGCTTATTTGGAGGAATATTGAAAACAGTTTTGCTTCAGTGATTTGCTCAACCGAATTTTATTTCAGCGTTTAGCTGGATAATGAATGATACAAATGAAAACTTTTGTCCACCTTGTCAGGGCATCCAGGTATTAGTGGTTAAAGTAACAGTATTGGCTGTGTCCTTCTTTTTTAAGAAAGATTTATAGAAATGTATAAAATTTAGAGCATTGAATGACTATAAAATTATTGATTTTTAAGTAAACTTTGGACAGAATGCTTAAGAATTTCTTTGTAAAGTTTAAGAAATTGGTTTGTTGTTGTTTTTAACCAAAGAAAGTCATCTTTTTTTTTTTAATAAATTTATTTCATTATTTATTTTTATTTTTGGCTGCATTGGGTCTTCGTTGCTGTGCGCGGGCTTTCTCTGGTTACAGCAAGCAGGGACTACTCTTCGTTGCGGTGTGAGGGCTTCTCATTGCTGTGGCTTCTCTTGTTGGGAGCACGGGCTCTAGGCGCGGGCTTCAGTAGTTGTGACATGCGGGCTCAGTAGCTGTGGCTCGCGGGCACTGGAGCACAGGCTCAGTAGTTGTGGTGCACGGGCTCAGTTACTCTGCGGCATGTGGGATCTCCCTGGGCCAGGGCTCGAACCCGTGTCCCTTGCATTGACAGGCAGATTCTTAACCACTGCGCCACCAGGGAAGCCTCAAAAGGAAGTCATCTTAATGCTAATAAGCAAGAATTGCTTATCTTAAAATTAGAAGCCACTGGTATCTAAATAACTTTTATTGTCATTTCAGATACATACTGTTGAATTTTTGTTGTGCTTACTTTATTAAAATTTTTCTAATAGGCAGCATGAAATAACTTGTCATTTAAATCTATAGTTACAAGGTTTTTTCTTTTTTTTTTAATAAATTTATTTATTTATTTTTGGCTGCATTTGGTCTTCATTGCTGCGTGCGGGCTTTCTCTAGTTGTGGCAAGTGGGGGCCACTCTTCCTTGCGGTGCACGGGCTTCTCATCGAGGTGGCTTCTCTTGTTGGAGAGCAGGGGCTCTAGGTGCGCCAGCTTCGGTAGTTGTGGCTCAAGGGCCCTAGAGCACAGGCTCAGTAGTTGTGGCGCACAGGCTTAGTTGCTCTGCGGCATGTGGGATCTTCCCGGACCAGGGCTTGAACCCGTGTCCCCTGCATTGGCAGGCGGATTCTTAACCACTGTGCCACTAGGGAAGTCCTATAGTTGAAAGTTTTTGAAAAAATCTTTTTTAGCTTTTAGTAAAACATGGAGGAGACTTGTTTGCTGAGAATGAGAATAAAGATACTCCTTGTGATTGTGCTGAAAAGCAACACCACAAAGATTTGGCCCTCAATCTGGAATCTCAAATGGTATTCTCACGAGATCCTGAAGCTGAAGAAATAGAAGCTGAATATGCTGCATTAGACAAACGAGAGGTAAGTTTTTTTTAATAAAAAAATTACATGGATTTTATATTAAATTTTATTTTTTTCTTCTTTAAAACCCAGTTTGTGTGGTCTTCTTTGCAATATGCTAAATATCCTGTGATCTACATAGCCATAAGTATGAAAATACATCTAGAAAACCTGGAGGTGGTGTCTGTCCTTTAGCATATGTAAGTATGTTTAATTACGTATAAATAGAGATGCTGACTCCAAGACTCCAGTCCTGTACTTCAGTCTCTGCCTGTCTTCTGGATTGCTCTTATCAACAAACATGCTTTGGTAACTCCCATCTTAAAAAACAAAACGACCTCTCCATTGACCACTCTTCCCCAGCCCTGTCCCTGTCCCCCTTCACTTGTAGCCCCATATCTCTGATCTTCATATGAGAAAGACAAAACTTAGGAGCTATCTATACATACCAACTTCCTCACCTTCCCTTCACTCTTCAGCCCATTGCAGTGTGACTTTCTTCCCTTCTACTCTGATGGAACTGCACTGATGTGGACATCAAGAGTCACTGTGTTGCCAAATCCAGTAGGTGCTTTTCTTACTTGAATTCTTCGGCACCACTTGACATAATTAACCACTCCCTTAGTGAAACACTCTTCCCTTGGCTTCAGTGACATTGCTTTCTGGTTTTCCTTTAAGTCTTCCTTGTCTCAGTAAACATTACCTCCATCCACTCAAGCATAAATGTGGCAAGCATTCTCGATTCCTCACATCCAAGCAGTCTGGGAATTCTGTCAGTTTACCTCCAAAGTTATAACCTAAATCCATTTACTCCTCCCATTCTCTACGCCTACCTCCCTAGGTCCTCTCCACCTTCACTTCTCATCTGAACTACTATAGTAGTTTCCTTACTGGTCTCCTTCCTTCTGTTCTCGTCCCCTTAGAATCCATTTTGTGCACAGTAGCCAGAGTGCCTTTTAAACTTAAATTAGATCATATCACTTAAACCATAGAGTGACTTTTCATAGCACTTAGAATAAAATCCAAACTGTTTGCTCAGATATAAGACCTTATATGGTCTCGCCACTATTTACCTCTCCAACATCATCTCACTGGCACACTTTGCTCTAATTGTAGTACCTAGACTATACTAAAGCTTTTGCATTTCCTGTTCCTTATGTCTAAAATCATCTCCCAAGTTTTCTCTTGACTATATCAGTTCTGCAGAGAGGCAGTCTTAGAGCATTCTTTCTGAAGTAGACCCCTCTCCTTCCATTATTCTTTACCATATACCCTATTTATTTTTTGTAGCACTTATCACATGCTATAATTACTTTGTTTATATATTTTTATAGTTTACTTGTTTACTGCCTTTCTCTTTTATTAGATTGTCAACTTTATGAGGGCCAGAACCATAACTGCCTTATTTAGTAGAATATTTTCAGTGTCTAACACACCTGCATGCACAGTGGGCATCCATAAATATTTCTTAAATAAAGACATTATTATAAGACACAGTAAATTTTTTCCTCTAAAAACGATTCTGATTCTTCAGTGTTCAGTGCTAACTTGATTCTGAGAGGACTTATATAACTATTATTTGTATGTGTTTAGGCACTTTTATTTGCCATTCCTCTTTAAATTAGTTTTCTTTTTCTTTCTTTGTATCAGTATTGGACTGCTTTGAAGGTTATTGCTTGTTTGTGTTAATCTGAAAAAGAAGCAGTTTATCTTTGCAGCAGTAAAGAGAAAGGCACCTTCATCTTAATCCCTCCTGCAGAAGAAAGGGGTACTGCCCGCTTGGAACTGAGCAATGTATTGAAATGCATCACATGACCTAGTTATAGTTCCATTGCAGAAATTCAGAGTGAATATGTTACATGTTCATGAAGGCAGTATGTCTTTCTCCTTCAAGGACTATTTTTCTTCCATTGTAACCTATTTAGGTTTTAAACTGTGCATTAAAAAAAAAGAATTTATACAGATTGCTTTATATCAATATTATTCCTTTCTTAATGTATCAAGAGTCAAATTTTATTTGGTTCAACATAGATTAGGTAGAATGATGGCTAATCTGAAAAAGAACATTTAGGAAATATACCAGGAAATAAACAGTTGCCACCACTGGGAATATCAGGAAATATTGGTTTTCATTGCTGAGGCAGGAAAGATACCTGGAGTCCCAAATCTGAACTTGGAACACAGTTTCTAGAAGCAATGTTATATATAGTGTATAAATTCTAGACTGGAATGAGTACTACAAATTTAATCATTAAAGGATTTGAGAGTTTTGCAGGACAAAGTATGGTTCATAAATTAGCTTAAAAGCAAACTGTATATGATGATTTGGGGGCACTTTTTAAAGGATAGTTGGGTTAAATTTCCCCTTTTTCCTTTTTTAGTTAATCCCTATATAGAATAGTTTAGGTTAAATTTTTATTTCTTTTTCTACTTAAGGTTATAGGATACCTGTAATATGTAGAGATTCATGGCAGTATAGCTGAATGCATATATAGGTGTAGTAGACTATTAATACAGTATGATATGAAATGTATTCAGCATTAAGTTTTTACTATCATTTGTAAAAAGAGTAACACTGCAGACTGATTGAGTGCATGCTCTGCCCCTGTTTAAAGCTTTTTAACATCCCCAGTGATTTTTCTTTGATTTTTCTTCTTTTTTTGGCTGTGCTGAGTGGCATGTGGGATCTTAGTTCCCTGACCAGGTGTCAGACCCGCGCCCCCTGCGTTGGAAGCGCGGAGTCTTAACCACTGGACCACCAGGGAAGTTCTTTAATTTTTTAATTAAAATTTTTTCAGCCAAACACCCCTTTTATAAGAAGAAGCAGAATGAAAATTTAAAATATTCATTATTCTACCACTTATAAATGATACTTGTAACATTTTCCCTTCCATTTTTCATCAGTGTGATGATATTGTACATTTTACATCCTGTAGTTTTTTTTTTCCTTAACATTTTTTGATATTCACAGATTCATCATGGAAAACATTTTGAATGACTGCTAACTACTCTAACATGTAGATGTCCTATAACTCCCTGAAAGTATATTTGGGTTCCTTGCATTTTGTCACTTTTAAAAGTAACATTACAGTTGACCAGTTTTGTTCACATTGTGATTAGACCTTAGGATAGATTCCTATAAGTAAAGTTATTGAGTCAGTATTTTAAAGGCTCATGATACGTGATGCTTAGTCATTAAATGATAATCCAATTTCTGTTTTTACCCACAGTACATCAGAGGGCCATCTCACTGCAACCTTACCAATATTGAGGGGTGTTTTTGTTTTTTTCCAAACCTTGGCCAGTTTGTTAGGTAAAGAGTTTGTATACTTAAGGATGTTTGTGTTTTTATAACTTTTGACATTTTAAATTTACTGATTGTCACAAATTCCTTATATATTAAAATCAACACACTTTTTATGTTTAAATCTTGGCAGTTTCTTTTGCAGTCAAGTTTGTCAGTCTTCCCTGTCATTACTACACTCATTGCTTATATATGCTTCCCTGCCAGAAGACATCTTAGGATCAGGAAACATACATCAACTGAGAGAAATTACCCCTGGTGAATAGAGTTCCCACCATATGGGGTTAAGTAAGAATTGATGAAATGGTTTCCATGATAATCAAAAAAACAAAGCAAGAAATAAAGATAATATCTAGTTTTAAAATATCTGTAAATCAGTTGTAAGGGATAGGGCTTACTGACTGCCCAGAACTCTCTGGAATGTGTGATAGATGTTACCAAAGGACTTCCTCAATGGTTGTTATTCTGATAAGTATTTGAGAATTTCTGCTGCTTTTTAAGTTATGGTCTTTAGTTCTATGCTTACTGCAGTAAGCTGGTTACATCTGTTTAAAGGATTGAAATAGATATGTGTATCAATATTAATAATAAAAACACAGTATTGAATAAAAATAAAAGCAAGTTGCTTAGCGATATATTTAATGTTATGCCATAATATTATGATAGCTACAAATTAAATTCATCATAGTGATTGCTGTAAGCAAGGATGGGGAAAATTAGGGAAATGTAATGGGGAAAACATGTCACAGGTTATTTTAGCTTTTATAAATTTCTGAATAGTGAGACATTTGTGATTTTATTCCTTGTATGTTTTCTGTTAAATGCAAAGAAAAAAAAGTATAAAGGATAACAAAAGAATTTTAAAAACCTGAAATGATACAGTACCTTTATGAAGAAAACTAAGAAGCATTAACACTTGAGTAAACAGAGAGAATACATTTATGATAAGAAGTTGAATAGTATGTCATAATCACTTCTCTCCAAATTAATTAATAGGTATCATATAATCCCACTAGCAATCCAGATTGTATCTTAATAAGTGTAAATGTTGGTGGTTCAGTGATTAAAAGTGAGTCTAAGTGAAAACATGTATTGATATATTCACACACAATTGATTTGCAAAAAGAAAAGACTGGATAAAAGTACTTGAGAACTTTAATCATGACCATTGCTCAGTGGTGGGATTATAGATTTTTATTTCTAATTCATTTTTGTATTATTCAGATTTTTTAAACCATGAGTAAGATGGTTTTGTCATTATACTATGATTCTTTTGTTTTAGAATGATAAGGTACATGAGACTAGGCATCCACTTTCCATCTTAAAAAAGACTTGTTAGAGAGTAGTTTGAAGTCCATGATAGTGGAACATACAGAGCCTTTTTAACTTCATTGCCAAACTGGAACTGGAAGGTTAAATAAATGATAATCATATATATTTATTTATAGGCATTTAGAACTTCCTAATAGTATAATAGCCAATTTAACTTTGTTTTTCTTCTTTTTAAAGCCATATGAAGGATTAAGACCTCAGGATCTTCGTAGATTGAAAGATATGCTTATTGTGGAAACAGCAGACATGCTCCAGGCTCCACTATTTACTGCTGAAGCTTTACTTCGAGCTCATGGTAATGAAAGAAATGTGCTTCTGATAACACGAGTGCCTTTTGAAACTTTTCAGAGTTAAAAGGTGGCTATTTTAATGTTTTAATATAAAACAAAATAGTTTGCTAAACAAGCCTAAGTTCATTTTTGTGCAGTAGTTACTGCAGTACTCAGCATCCTCATAACATTTTGTATTTTGAAGTATAAACTAGCTACAAATCGTAGAGAGAAACAGGAAATTTCTTTTAAAAATTGAGCTACTAAATCAACTTATAGATTGTCTAATTTTAGAAATGTATCTGATTCAAGCAGGGTTGAGAGTTGGAATCCATAGTCCTAGTCCTGGTTTTAACATTAATTTTTACTAAAGTCAATTAAATAAAGTTAACTAACAGTTGTGTTATCAGTATTGTCAGTTGTATTTATTTTATGTAAAAGCTGTTTCTCACCATGAAATGCACAAAGAGAAATTTAGAGAGTCAAGGCAGGAATATGCTATTCCTTTTAAGGTGAGGTTTTTTGTATGTTTTTATTTTTTTGAGGACACTACCAGATTTACTTAGGAAAAGTGCTCAGCTTAAGTTCTCTGTGATACTTAGCATAGCCATTCTGGGAGTTGTTACATGCTGAGTTGGACCCTCTCATTGCACACTTGATATCTGACATTTTGGCTTATTTCAAAGAGGTTTTTTCTGATTTAGAAATGCTTTTTAAAGGTAGAAAGGTAAATGGCTATTCTCATCCAGTAATTTTGAGGCATACTGGTCTGTTTTAACTATAAATCTGTACCATCTATCCTAAAATAGAATGTCAACTTCCAAAAACTTTTATATAATGTTTTGATCAGAAGAAAATTTAAAACTGCATTTCATCATCCTTTGATCACCTCTGTGAATAATTTGGTATATAACCATCCAGAATCACTAACTTCAATATTGATATTTCCCAGAGTTCTGTACTTGACACTCTTTTCCACTTTATATACCAGTGGCTCTATATTTTAGTATAAATAAGGATAGCCTGGGAAACTAACCAGAGATTCCTAGGACGACTTCCATAGAGTCTAAGTCTTTAGGTGAGGGATGCAGCATAAAAACGTGTGTTGTAAACAAGCCTTACAAAGTAGACCGTTTTCTGAGAAACATTGCTGTGCACATTTATCTAATGAAACCAAGGGTTTCAAAAACCACCTAAATAATAAAGAATATATCTACCACCTGGCCTTAATAAAGTATTCAAGGCTTTATTTCTAAATGCCTTTTTAACATTTTCTCCTCAACCTAAGGATGTCCACACCTGAACTCATCATTTCTCCCAGTGTCTTGATAAATGGACTGCCACATTAATTTAATCACCCTAACTAGAAACTGGGAAGTCATACTTTCCTTCTTCATCTCTATTACATTTGGCCACAGTCTTATCATTTCTCTTCCTAAATATCTCTCATCCTCTCCCCATCCTCCCTAGCTCTTTCCATTCTCACTGCCACTGACTTAAATTCAGGTTGTCATTATTTTTCATCTAAATTGTAGTCTCCGCTGTTGCTATTCCTCTTCATCCTTATTCATTTTTTATATTGCATTTTAAAATTTTGAGCATGTAACTCCCCTGCTGAAAAACCCTTCACTGGCTCTCCACAGACTTAAAATATCCCAGCTCTTCAGTAGACCTTCATGACCAAGGCTTCTTTACCTGGGCTGTTAATTTTCCCATTTATTTACCCACTCCTGCTTGTCCTTATTAATCACTCTTCCAGGAAACCTTTTCTGCTTATGTGTTCCCAAGTATTCACTGAGAGCCTTCCTGTCTCTTCCCATTATATCCTGTGCATGTATGTGTCGTACACTTATAATACAATATTGTAATAATCTCTTTATTTGCTTTTCTTCTACATTAGCCTGGGAGCTCTTAGAGGACAGCTTTTTATTGTTTTTTGTTTCCACAATATCTGGCATCCCTTAAGCCCTCAGATCATAGTTACAAAATGAATAGATAATATATCTGAAATGTTATTTATATATTTTTAAATCCATCTTTTTATTATAAAACTATTTTTCTGCATTGCCATCTTTTAAAATTTTGAAGTAAATCCTTTGGGAAAAAAATTTAGACCTGGTTTCAAAAACGACATTGAGAAATTCAGGATAGTTTTTAAAATCTTAGAATTTAAAGATAAAATATTTTCCTCTTAGTAATAATACTTAACATTCGTAAAAACTTGCAAAGAAATACCAAATACCTTAAATTGTTTTTCTTTTGTGTGAGGTTCACAGCACCCCGTCCTTTGCTTGAGCTTTCAAATAAAGAGAGTGCATTTAAATATAACATAGAGCTGGCATAAAAGTGGAAGCTATTCATCTGTGAGGAGCTGTAACGTGACAGTTGTATTAGTTAGGGTAGGCTGGCTGCTGAAATGAAAGTATCGAGTCAAACACAGTAAACATTTATTTATTTATTTTGTGGTATGCGGGCCTCTCACTGTTGTGGCCTCTCCCGTTGTGGAACACAGGCTCCAGATGTGCAGGCTCAGCGTCCATGGCTCACGGGCCCAGCCGCTCCGCGGCATGTGGGATCTTCCCGGACTCGGGCACGAACCTGTGTCCCCTGCATCGGCAGGTGGACTCTCAACCACTGCGCCACCAGGGAAGCCCAGTAAACATTTATTAATCATAATAGTCTAAAGTGTTAGGAATGGGACAGGGGCTCTGCTCCACACAGTTACTCGGACTGACTGAGACTCTGCCATATTAACAAAGTAGCTTCTGAGGTTGCCTGGATTATCTCCATTCCAGACAACCAATCAGAAAGGAAAAAGTGTGGAGAAATAGGTGTGGGAAGTTTTTTGAGCCAGTCCTGGAAGTGGCATAAATCACTCCTGCACCTATTCCACTGACCAGAATTCAGTCACATGGTCACAGTTAACTGCAAGCAATAGTTCTACTCTGTAGAACTGTTGTGTAGTACTTATGGCCATTTCTGCCACAGGTATCTACATTCAGCTAAATTATATAATATATCATAATTCTAACTTACAATATTATATAGAATCTAAGGCTAACTTAACTAGTAATTGTAATTAAAACAAAGATTTTCTTCTCTGGTATTTACACATTGTGTCATCAAGTATTTTTAAATGATCACCTCCATTTTCATTCCATTGATATTTCCCTAAGTTACTTCTTTTATATAGTAGGGTCAATTCTAATAACCTGATATCTAACTGAATTTTATTACTTGACATTTGTCTATTCTGTGATAACTTTTTTGATAACTTAAGAGTTCTATATTTCAGTCTCCTATTAAGGCATATAATAGAGGCTAACGCAGGTTTTCAGATGGACATCTCTTCTATATTGTTTAGGTAATATCAGTGATATTTTGATAATCAAATAAGATTTTCAGAGATAAACCATGCTAGTGAATAAAAAAGACAGTGCACAGAGCTGCAGTTTATACTAATTGCTGTCAAAATCCGGATGGGCTCTGTTTCAGAGCTATTAAACTGAACTATTTGTTAGATTTATAGATTGTTTCCTTGGTAACATTCATTCAGCTTTCCACAGGAAAATAGATTTAAGTATTATGTTATCTACTGTCAAATTTAGTCCCAAAGTAATGAGGTTGAAGACAGAAGACAGAAATGTTTGGCAGTATTTACTAAGTAGTAATTGAATTTTAAGGATGACTCTGTTAAGAATACAAAGGTCATTTTCTGAGCATTTCCTCAGTAATAAAAGTAACTTATATAGTTCAAAGTTACCTAATGAGAAAATAAGTAAAATTTACTTACCTATTTTTTAAAATATGAGACCAAGGCTAGTTTGCTTGTCCTTAGAGTAAATGTATACTGAAGTATTTTTTAAATCTCCTTTGGAGACTCATCACTTCTATAGGTAATTAAACATCAGTAGTCCACACCTCCTCTCACTCTACTCTCTTCCTAGGAAATGACATCTTCTCCCACGGCTTCCATAGATACAGATTTCTCCTTCTAAAACTAGACTTCTGAGCTCTATACACTTATATATAACTGCCGATTTGAAAGCACCTCTAGGATATCTCAAAAGCCCCTTAATCTCATCATGTCTAAAATTAAAATCATGCTTTTAAACCTGTACCTGAGTCTCTGGTATTCCCTATTTACATAGATGGCAGCACCAACCAACCAATGTGGAAGACCTGGGACAACAACTTTGACATTTCCTCTCCCTCAGACCCTATATCCCATTGTTACCAAATTTTCAGTCTCACGTCCCAGATCTTAACTTCTTCCTTTCTCTTCATCTCCACCGCGGCTAGCCATGGCCTTGGCTACCATAATCTCTCACTGGTATTTCCCAGTAGCCTCCTTTCTAGTCTACCTTTCCCTCCACTCTCACCCTATCCAATTTCTTTGTTATTCCATACTGTAGTCAGAATGATCTTTTCAGATCTAACCGTGACAACCTGTTCTTCCTAACCCTAAGCCCAGTTTTCACTGGCTTCCTGTCACTTCTAAACTGATGATAGGAGTATTATTAAAAAGTTCTACATGGCCTAGTCCCTGCCTGTTTTCAGCCTCACTCACACAGTGCTTCCCCTCTGGTCTCCATGCTCCAGCTACATTGACTTTTTAAATTTCACAAGGATGCTACCTTCTCTCCTACCATAAGGCCTTTTAGCAAGCTATGTACCATCTGTCTAGAATGTCTTTCCCTCTTCCTTTTACCCAGTTAGCTCCCACTCATCCTTCGGATGTCCACTCCAAGCCATGAGCTCCCTGAATGGGAGTCTCTACCTCTTCTTAATGGTGCTTCTGACAGTGATAATTTTTTTTTAATGTGTTGATTTTACTTAATGTCTTTCTCCCTACTAGACTCTAAGTTCCATGAAAGTAGGAATTATGCCTGTTTTTTCCTCCTGTTATATCCCTACAGCTTGACATAGTGTATGGCACATAAAAGACATTCAATAAATGTTTGCTAAATGAATGATATGATAGAATCCAAGCAGAAATTGTGCTGGAAAATATTTGTAGTAGATAAGACTAGAATTTAATATGTGTGTATATAAATTATAGTAGTTCTTTTTTCCATTTATGAAAAAGTATTATAGTGGAGATTTGAAAAATAATATTGTTCTAAGAAAGTTTTAACTTTTTAAGTAAGTACAAGTATACCTCATTTTATTGCACTTTGCTTTATTGTGCTTTGCAGATATTGCATTTTTTACAATTTGAAAATTTGTGGCAACCCTACATTGTCAGATGATGGTTAGTGTTTTTTAGCAATAAAACGTTTTAATTAAGGTACTATATAGTCTGTTAAGTGTGTAATAGCATTATAGCTAAAAAAACAATGTAGTGTAAATATAACCTTTATATGCACTGGGAAACCAAAAAATTTGTATGACTTGCTTTATATTTGCTTTATTGCAGTGGTCTAGAACCAAACTTGCAATATCTCCAAGGTATGCCTGTAATGTCCTATCAAAACACTCAGGTCCATTTAGCAACATTTCCTAGAATGCACTCATGTGCAGTGTTTTTCAGTTGTTGGATTTTTCTTCTTTTGTAATGACTCCTGTTTTCAATCTTATCTTCCATCTCCCCAAACCACAATATAGTATACTGTAACTTTACAGAGCTGCTCATGTCTCTCCATTATATTTCTGTGCCTTTGCACATATGGAAACACACTGTACCTTCATTGCATGTCTGAATCATAATTATCCTGGTAAACCACCAAATATATTGACTTCATATGGTTGAAAAAAGTCTTATATAGAAAGTTTTCACAGTTATTTGTATTTGATTTATAAAATGATATAGAATGGGCCCATGGTAAATAATTGACTCATATTACTTTTGACCCTATGCTTTATTGGGCTGCAGTGGAAAGAACACAGGCTTTGGATTCACAGAAATTTGTTTCAAATCCTTCATATCTGTGTGAGCCTGGGCAAGTTGTGTAATTTCCCTGAGTCTTGGTTTCTTCACCTCAATAATGATTGAAAAGTTTGTTGGGAGGAGTAAATGAAATATATATATAAAACACCTGGGAAAATCATTGGCTATATCAGTTTATTGTTTTGAATGGTTTAGGTTTTTATGGCTCTGGACTTATAATAACATACTTCACTTGACTATTTTTAAAGTGTTTGTACTAGGAAGGTAACCTTTTTTTAGTTAAGCCAGAATCAGGCTCACTTAATGTGCAATTTATATCAAATTCACTAAAACTTTATAATCATAATCTCTTCAGAAGTTCCTTCTGCTTTCAAGCTGTTTATCAAATGATTTTTAGGACTTGTTGGCATTTTGACATGCTTATAGTTAGCTGTGTAATCATTTTACAACTTGACAGCAGTGAGGCCAATTGTGAAGTTACATATTATTCTTGAAAAAGTAAAATGGCTTAATCAAACCTATACCTATAAAAATTTAGTAAATTCCAATGACATGTGAGCCACCACTTTTGATTATTAGTAGAAATGACTGAAAATTTTGACCATATTATTAGATATTGACATGGTTGTAAGCCATGATAAATTATAAAACTTTAAATTCTGTTTAAAAATATGAATGGATATAAAATCATAAACATTCATTTGCGATTACTATTTTGATACAAATAGTTTTTTTTCCATAGATGACCTATATCTCTCTAACTTATTCTCTTTTGTTATTATGAAGCCCTTAAAACATCACCATATTTTCTCTGTTATTTGAGAGATATCCATTCTATTTTTCTTAAAGATTGGGACAGGGAGAAATTACTTGAAGCTTGGATGTCCAACCCAGAGAACTGCTGCCAACGATCAGGTGTTCAAATGCCAACTCCACCACCAAGTGGGTATAATGCCTGGGACACACTCCCTTCTCCAAGAACTCCGAGGACTACACGCTCTTCCATCACCTCTCCAGATGAAATAAGTTTATCTCCTGGGGATTTGGACACCAGTTTGGTATGGTTTAGTATTCAGTGTACTTCCCATAGTTTTAGTTTTAATATTGTTTCATGGAACCTCTAGTCATAATTCTTGTAATTGAATCCTATACCCTACTTAAAAGGTTCAATTATTTCATGCTTTGGTAAATATTTATTATCACAGACTATTTTTGAGATCTCTGAATTACAGATTGAAAAACAAAAGGGGTTTCTTTTTCTCTTTTAAAACAAAACATAAGAGAATTTGGGAAAACCATCTACAATATTTTCACTTAAAATCTCCAATTGCTTAAAATTTTGAGCACACCATACTGAAATATTAAAAGTTGAGCTTGTGATAGGCACCTGAAACCCAAAGATATGAAAATATTTTTATATTTTTCTGAAGACATTTATCATATGTTGATGATTATGTATTTGTTTCAGTAAAACTTCTGGAGTTTGTCATCTGGATACATTTCCAAAATAAATATTTGCTTTTTATTGAGAAACAGTACTGCCATTGTGTGCATTTTTAATTGGCAAACCACTGTTACAGGAAATTTTTATGTTTCTCGAATGATTCAGCCACACAAAATATGTTATAAATATGAATGCACTTCAGATTTTATCTGGGCCTTCTTGGAAAACAGGATCCTACTTCTGTAATTCACATCTGTAACATTATAAAGGTAGTTATTGTTTAGAAGATACACAACTTTGTAGCATGGTTCCCTGGGTAGAAATCCTTAAATTGCTCCTCTGAATATCCTGAGTTGCTGTATTGAAAAAACAGAGTTACTCCGTTTTTGTAGATTTTCTGGGGTGCGTATAGGGTGAAGGACATGATATTGAAGTGGTTATTTTGCAAGGAGCAATTTGATCTTGACTTGAATAGATTGCAATGATTTGTTTCTTGTATTTCCTTTTCCAAACAAATAGTTGCTGACTAATTTAACACATACGTTTGGAATTTAAGAATTTCACTTTTGCATTAAAACATTTAAATCCCACAATAATTTATAATGAGATAAGCATGGTATTTGTTATCTAGTCAAAGGTAGGCACACTAACTTTAATTTCCCTTATAACTTTGAAACACTGTTTATAATTACTATGCTAGTATTTTTGCCATAAGCTAATGAACAAAGAGATGTTCTATCTCCAAGGTATGACTTTGTTTAAATCATTTTCTTCTTCACTTCCAGTGTGACATTTGTATGTGCAGTATTTCTGTATTTGAAGACCCAGTGGATATGCCCTGTGGACATGACTTTTGTAGAGGATGTTGGGAGTCGTGAGTATATGTGCAGCTTAGTATTTCTTACTGCATGATAGCACTCTGATTTGGCAATAAAATTGCTTGCTTTCAGTATTTAATGATATGGATTATTTATATTGGTTTCAGAGTTACACTCAAATGTGTTATATTTTACTACTAAAGAATTCTGTTTTTATTTTGACATCTTCCTATCTGTTAATTTAGTAAAATTATTTAATTTAGTAAAATTATTTAATTTAGTAATTAAGGTTATTTTGCTTAATGTAAGGTACTTTGGGGAACAAAGCAGATGTAGGTAAATAAGTTTTCTCATCTATTGTAAATTTTAAGGCTGCACCTCAATATCAAGAATCAGTTTCTTATATCCCAAGATTGTTTAAGCATTTGTTTTTATGCTTTCTCTGAACTTTTTGTGACAAGCAGATAGCCTTGGAAATCTGTAAGAATATGGACGCTTAAAATTCCTTTTTAATCAATTCAAAGTTAGATGTCTCTGCTAAGCATGGTTGGTCTATATTACAAACTGAAATTTTATTTTCCTCCTCATGTTTATCTCTATTCTCCTTCCCATTACCTTGCCAAGATTTGTACTTTCTCACCATCCATTAATGTTGCTCTAATGTTGTACTTTTTGAGAGAGGTTTATAAACTAAATGAAGAAGATCAATATAATGAGCAATACGTTATCAGGTTATCTCTGGAGACACGTAAATCTAATGATTATGACCTAAGCAAAGCATATCACTAATACTTAAGAAAAAAGCTTTCAAACTGTTCTTTTTCGTAGAATACTAGGAACCAAGTATAGGAACTAGGGAATACCATGTTGCGTGAAAGAGCAAGAACCTGAGGAAATTTTCTGTTTTTTTTTTTTAATAACTTTGTCGTGGTATGGATAGCATACACTAAAACACATATTCAAAATAAATAATTCAGTAAGCTTTGACATACATATATACCCATGAAACCATTATGACAATCAAGATAATGCATATATCCATTACCACCAAAAGTTTCCTCATTTCTCCTTGAAATCCCTCCCACCCTTCTCTTTCCGCCTCCCTCTTATCCTTCCACCACCACCCTCCACCTCCCATCTGTAGGCAACCACTGATCTTCTTTCTGTCGCTGTGGTTTCATTTTGAGTACATTTTCTTTATCTGTTTTCCAAATTGGGATATAAGGGAAGATTATATTTGGATTTATATTTGTATAAATGGATTTGTATATTATATTTATATTATTTATTTGGAAGGGAAAAATAATCTGCTTTAAAAAAAATCAGAATAAGTAAGAATATCTGGTTGTTCTTTTTAAAACATAGATTAGACTCTACTCTGAATCTAATTAGATAGGATCAAATCAGTGCAGCTGATACAGATAAATTAGTTGGCAGAGGTCAGAACTCACGAAGCAAACTTTGAGCTGGTTCTGAGCACAGAAAATCTTCCACAGGTTTAGTACTTTATTTAGCTTAAAATTGTCAACTGTATTATATTAGGAAGTATTATCTGGGTTCTACCAAGGTTGTTACTGTTGATGTTGATTTCTCTGTGAGAATTGAGCCCCTCTAAGGGATTTACTTGAATTTTTTTGAACTTCCTTGACCTTCCTCTCCAAACTCCTATCACAGGAACCATCTCCCATACTTAATGGTAAGATTTAAATTTGAAAGATCTAATTATTGTTTTCCATGGTACCTTATCAGCCTACCTAGGATACTCCTCCTCTCTCCTACCAGGTAGTTCTTGTCAAATCAAGCATCAGTAAAACAAGTACCAGATTGAGTGACTCGTATGTGAATAAAACCATTTTAAAATTAATTGCAGTCCTTTCATGGGCATATAGAAAAACTCTTCAGTCTAAGAAGCAAGGAAGAATTTTTAAAGGTCCCTAGATAGTTTTGAAAACATCTTAATTTATCTTACTCTTCTCTACCCCCTTATCTCATCAGTCTATACAGATACTTTGAAGCATCTATGCCAAGGGCTTAAATGAAAGGGAAATTACTATTTTCTACCCAGCCTAGAATATCCTTCTTGCTACTGATTAGTTGTTGATTTCCTAAGTGGTAACCTTCCTGTGCCTCAATTTCCTAAACTATAAAATGGTGACAGTGGTGAGTACTTTATAGGATTGTTGCCAGTTTATTGTTAAATGGCTTAATATATGGAAAATGCTTAGAACAGGGCCTGGCATATAGTAACCACTCAGTAAATGTTAGTTATTACCATCTTACTAAGCTTGATAATAAACAGTGGGAACTTACGATATAATCTGTGAAGCTGACCTACAAGATAAAAATATAGGTAAAGTTTGCCCCAGATTTCTCTCTTTTACTAACATTCATCAACTCTATGTTCTGCTTTTAAATTTAGTGAGAAATTCTATGTTGCTGAAAATTAGTAGACTGGCTCACAGAGAGATGATGCTTTCTTCAGTGAGGTCTTCTCAGTTCTGTCATTTAATTCCCCAGAGATAGTTAACCCTGCTCTGATGTATTTAGAATACATAAAATTCAAAAACATCATTATATAGTAACTATGTCTAAGTACGTTGTGCACTTTGACAGGGGACTATAATTATTAAGATAAATTATATCTAACTTTACAGGGAACCTATTCATAGCTATAAGGAAGAGAATCCTGCTATGTGAAAAAAGGAACTCTACAGTTAGCTATTCTCAAACTTTTAGTCTCAACATGCCTTTACACTTTTAAAAATTGTTGAGGACGTTTTTCACATAACTAGAACAAATAATTCTAAAATTTATATGGACATACAAAAGACCCTTCATGGCCAAAGCAATCTTGAGAAAGAAGAACAAAGCTAGAGTCGTCACACTCCCTGATTTTAAACTTTACTACAAAGCTGCAGTTATCAAAACAGTATGGTACTGGCACAAAAACAGACACAGATCAATGGAACAGAATAGAGAGCCCAAAAATGAACCCACACTTATATGGGCAATTAATCTGCAACAAAAGAGGCAAGAATATATAATGGAGAAGAGATGACCCCTTCAATAAATGGTACTGGGCGAACTGGACGGCCACATACAAAGAATCAAGTTGGACTACTCTCTCTCACACCATGCACAAAAATATATTCAAAATGGATTAAAGACTTAAATGCAAGACCTGAAACCACAAACTTCTACAAGAAAACATAGGCAGTAAGCTCTTTGACATCATTCTTAGTAATATTTTTTTGGATATGTCTCCTCAGGCAAGGGAAATTCACACTTCAAAAGTTTGTTTCGGGCTTCCCTGGTGGCGCAGTGGTTGAGAGTCCGCCTGCCGATGCAGGGGACACGAGTTCGTGCCCTGGTCCGGGAAGATCCCACATGCTGCGGAGCGGCTAGGCCTGTGAGCCATGGCCGCTGAGCCTGTGCGTCCCAAGCCTGTGCTCCGCAACGGGAGAGGCCACAACAGAGAGAGGCCCACGCACTGCAAAAAAAAAAAAAAAAGTTTGTTTCTTCAGGGCTTCCCTGGTGGCGCAGTGGTTAAGAATCCGCCTACCAATGCAGGGGACGTGGGTTTGAGCCCAGGCCCAGGAAGATCCGACATGCCATGGAGCAACTAAGCCTGTGCGCCACAACTACTGAGCCTGCGCTCTAGAGCCTGTGAGCCATAGCTGCTGAGCCCGCGTGCCACAACTACTGAAGCCCGCGCACCTAGAGCCCATGCTCAGCAACAAGAGAAGCCACCACAATGAGAATTCCGTGCACCACAACAACGAGTAGCCCCCACTCACCGCAACTAGAGGAAACCCACACACGGCAACAAAGACCCAACGCAGCCAAAAATAAATAAAAAATTTTTAAAAAGTTTATTTCTTCTTTTTCCATGGGAAATATTAATGATAAAACCCTCACTAAAATTTATGAATTCTTTTTTCTGTGCCAGGCACCATGTAAATATTTCACATACATTATATCATATAATCTGTATAACAACCCTGAGAAGTACATATTGTTATCTCCATTTTACATATAGCGAAATTGAGGCCCAGAACAGTTAAATGAATTGCTTAAGGTCATATAACTTGTTGGTGGCAGACCTGGAATTCTCTAATATAAAATCTTGCTGTTGCTCTTTTTCGTGGCGCCTCGGAGGCGGTCGGCAGCTTCAGAATGAAGCTGAACATCTCTTTCCCGGCCACTGGCTGCCAGAAACTCATTGAAGTGGACGATGAACGAAAACTTCGAACCTTTTATGAGAAGTGTATGGCCACAGAAGTTGGTGCTGACGCTCTGGGTGAAGAATGGAAGGGTTATGTGGTCCGAATCAGTGGTGGGAACGACAAACAGGGTTTCCCCATGAAGCAGGGTGTCTTGACCCATGGCCGAGTCTGCCTGCTACTGAGTAAGGGGCATTCCTGTTACAGACCAAGGAGGACTGGAGAAAGAAAGCGCAAATCTGTGCGGGGCTGCATTGTGGATGCCAATCTGAGCGTTCTCAATTTGGTCATTGTAAAAAAGGGGAGAAGGATATTCCTGGACTCACTGATACTATTGTGCCTCGTCGCCTGGGGCCCAAAAGAGCTAGCAGAATCCGCAAACTTTTCAATCTCTCTAAAGAAGATGATGTCCGCCAGTATGTTGTGAGAAAGCCCCTAAACAAAGAAGGTAAGAAACCTAGGACCAAAGCACTCAAGATTCAGCGTCTTGTTACTCCACGTGTTCTGCAACACAGACGTCGGCAAATTGCTCTGAAGAAACAGCGTACTAAGAAAAATAAGGAAGAGGCTGCAGAATATGCTAAACTTTTGGCCAAGAGAATGAAGGAGGCCAAAGAAAAACGCCAGGAACAGATTGCCAAGAAACGGAGGCTGTCCTCTCTGAGAGCTTCTACTTCTAAGTCTGAGTCCAGTCAAAAATGAGATGTTCTTAGAGTAACAAGTAAATACGATCAGACATCAAAAAAAAAAAATCTTGCTGTTAACTACTTAATTCACCTTGGGCTAGATTCCTGCCACTTTCCAGGATGCCTTTTCTGTACTACCTCAACTAGTGTGCCTAGAATAGGACATGAAACTCATTTTAATATTTGTCTAAATGAAATATAAGCAGAAAACCTTTTCTTCAAAAAGTTATGCTGTATTCCAATGCCACCTCAAAAATCTCTTGAATTATCTATGGTTTAATTCTGTACCATTGCTCTCTTTAATTTAAAGGTGTAGAATATTGAGAATTGAATATGACCTTTCTAAACCACTTATTTCTATTTTTAATGTTAAATATATTGTTTCAAATTTTTAAAGAGGATAAAGCAAACAAAGTTAAAGAAATTATAAAACATAGATCTGTATATAAATATTCATACATATATAATGAATGGTTGGGCAGGTAATAAGTGTTCAGTGTTTGTGAATTATATGAATTAATGTATTACAATTGATATTGCACAGTTTGTTCATTGGTATATTTTAATTATACTCTAACAGAAAATTCAGCATCAAGAAAAAATTCTTAGAATGTGCAAATTATATCCTTGCCTTTTTTCTATCAATTGATAATTTTAATAGGTTTTTGAATCTGAAAATTCAAGAAGGTGAAGCTCACAACATTTTCTGCCCTGCATATGATTGCTTCCAACTTGTTCCTGTGGATATCATAGAAAGCGTAGTTTCTAAGGAGATGGACAAACGATACCTACAGTTTGATATTAAGGTATGCTGCCAATTATCTGTTTGATTTCCAAAATTTAAATTTTATTAAACCTATATAACAGATTTTAATTTTTTTGTTTTATTTTTGAAAACAAAGTAATGGACTCTGACTTTGTCAGAAAAACTGCATAAAGGCATGGTGGCCTAAATTAAAGTTTTAAACTAAAGCATTATTTTATAATCATGATAGAAGTAAAAGCAAAAAGCCATAATAGTAGTTTACAAAAAAAATAAAACTATCGCTCCGAACTATTCATTGATTTGCATGTTGAACTTTTATAACTGATTGATCAAGATAACGTTCAAAGTAAATAGGAACTATTTTAAATTTTCCAGAAGACATATTTTTACTCCTCAGTGTAAATATTTAGAAATAAAGATTATCAACTTGGAAATTTATGGATTTTTTAATTTCAAGTAATAGTTTCATAAAACAAATTATAATGTTTATTTCATCTTTTTTTCCCCATCTTCTTTTTCACCCAGGAGTTATTCAGAAGTATACGCAAATCTTTGTGTGATTTAAAAGTTACATTTTAACTGTCTTGTTCAGATTTTTTTATGGTCTAAACCCTAATACATGGACTTTTAAAAAAGAAGTCCTACTGTTTCTTTAACATAGAAAGCATCTTAATATTGACTTTTTTTTTAACATTTTTCTTTTTTTATTATTGTGGCAAAATACACATAAACTTTACCATTATAACTAGTTTTAAGTGAACTAAGTACTTTTACTTTGTTGTGCAACCATCACCACTCTCCATGTCTAGAATTTTTTTCATCATCCCAAACTGAAACTCTGTTCCCATTGAACGCTAACTTCCCATTCCCTCCTCCCACAGCCCCTGGTAACCACTGTTCTGCTTTCTGTCTCTATGTCTTTCACTATTCTAGGCATCTTATATAAGTGGAATCACACAATATTTATCCTTATATGTCTGGTTTATTGCACTTAGCATAATGTCTTCAAGGTTCATTCATGTTGTAGCATGTATCAAAATTTCCTTTCTTTTTAAGGTTGAATAATAGTCCAATAATGTATATACCACATTTTGTTTATGCATTCATTCATCCATGGATATTTGGGTTGTTTCTGCCTTTTGACTGCTGTGAATAATGCTGCTATGAACATGGGTGTACAAATATCTATCCCAGTTCCTGCTTTTAATTATTTGGGGTATATATGCAGAAGTGGAATTGCTGGATCATATGGTAATTCTATGTTTATAATATTGATTTTTATGTATTATTAGAGTACCATTTAGAAATTTACTGTTCTGATGCAACTAATAATCACAAGATTCTATTTATAAAAATTATTTTCCATCAGAAAAGTGGCACATTGTATGAGCAAACATTTTTAAATTACACATTTTCTGTATTTAAATTACAGCATTTTTACTCTATCATCATCTACTTGGTTTTTAGATTAAAGAAAACATAAATTTTAAAAGTCATGTCATTACTAAGGTAATTGCCACATTTTTCCTTCTTATTTTATATATCCCAATACTATTTTAAGTGTTTCTTGAGACTGACTACGCTTTGTTTTTTTATTTCACTCTGTTTTTGCTTTAAAGTAAATTGACATATGGGGTACACTCCCTATTAGAATTGAGAGTTAAAATGTTTTGTTATGTTTTGTTATTGCTGTTTAAACAGGCCTTTGTTGAAAATAATCCTGCCATTAAATGGTGTCCTACTCCAGGCTGTGAAAGAGCAGTCAGACTAACAAAACAAGGGTCAAACACATCTGGGTCTGATACACTCAGCTTCCCCTTGCTCAGAGCCCCTGCTGTGGACTGTGGAAAAGGACACCTCTTCTGCTGGTCAGTAAAAGACAAGTTGGAATAGCCTAATCACCTTTCTGACAGTTTTTAAAGAGACTTTATACTTTGAATCAGGCCTTTAAATTGTAGTATTTTTGATGTCATTCTTATTCATTAAAAAATATGTAAAGAGTGGTGATCGTTTACATTTATTGTGTGCTTGATGTGTGCCAGCCACCTTGCCAAATATTTTCAGATATTGAATTCTCCTAACAATGCTATGAATGGAGTGATATTATTATACCCATTTTACAGATACGGAAATTTAGGCACAGAGGAGTTGCCCAGGGTTATGCAGCTAGGAATTGGCAGAAATGGAATTAAAGCCCAGCTCTGTTTGGTGCTAGAGCCCATACACTTGAACTTTAATACCAAATTACTCACCATAGATTAGAAAATGTTTAGAGTTTAACATCGTTTCTTAAAGTAGAAGTCTCTAGCAGTGATTCTTAACCAGGCATGCCCAGAATTTAGTATTAAGACAGCTTTTCCAAATTTTCATTCTAGACCCCGACAAGAGATATTTTGATTTAGTGGATTTTGGAGTGGGGCTTCAAAAAAAAGCTCTTATGTGATTCTAATGCACAGTACCAGTTAAGAACCAGTTTGTGTCTTATGTTTTATTTAATTTCTAGTGCCTGATAAATACTTAGTATGAACTGATGATAAATCAGTAATGGATAGGCCATGTAACTATGTATAGTCTCTTGACTGTATGTTTGTCTGACATCGGCGTTATACTTTATTCAATTATAATAACTGTTTTTGTTTTAGTTAATTAAGTGATCAGAAGAAGAAATAGTATTTGTTATGCTTTTTGCTCATTTCCAGGTTTATCACATATGCAAGGAAATACTGTACTTGAGGTAGATATAAAACTCTAATCTTTACTCATATGCTTATCAGAAACCAAAATCAAACTGTAGCACTGCTAGATAGTAAAAAGGCAGTTATGGAAATATCCCTGCCGTGAAAGGTCTATTTCTTAAGCCCATCATCATTATCATTAGCTAAAAATATTTCTTGAACTGCCAACCTATATATAGCACTGAATTCTAGGTCAGGTGTCAGCAAAGTAGTGTCTGCACCAATTTTTAAAAATAAAGTTTTATTAGAACACAGCCACACCCACTCATTGCCAGTTTGTTTACCTATTGTCTGTGGCTGCTTTCAGGCTATGACAGCATCGAGTAGTTGTGACAGAGACCATATGGCCTGCAAAACCCAAGATATTTACTGTCTGGCCCTTTACAGAAAAAGCTTGCGAGGCTTCTGGCTAAGTGCTTGAATATAGTGATTAATGAAAGGAAAACCACATTTACTACTTTCATGGCTAAATCAGGTTCAGCAAGTAAAATAGCAACAAAATACTGAATAATAGATTATATCCACATGCCTTAAGATAATTTTTCAAAACATTTAAAAAGCAAATTCCTAATTTTTAGTTTTACGTGTTTTACTATTCGATGGTTGAGTCCTAATTCTACCTCACTATCCCACCAGAAGAGATAAGGATCCAGCAACAGAAATGAGAAGTGAGTTATTGAATACACACAAGCTTACTTGTTTGCATATAAATTGTCCTTAGATTAATATGAATCTACTTTATTAGTAAGAATATTAAAAGAAGAAAATAAAGGAGCTTCTTCTTTGAAGTTAGTTTCTTGAGAAACTTAAGCTCTAGTGCCCTAAAGCACCCCATCTAGAATGGTACTAATTATGTACTATCCTTCAGAAAATCATTTTCTGAGCCCTCTGGTTCAGGTAAGCACCCCTGGAAGAAAAAAGCTGATTAAGAGGATTGGTGGAGAGGCTACAAAAATGGAAAACATAGATTAGTAAAATGTATAGAAGATTAAGAAGGTGATAACATTTGCTAAGATCTGAGGATAATAAAGTTTTGAAAGGAAAAGAAAAATCTGTGATTGGCATTGTCTTCTTAAACTCTGTGGTTTCTGTGGCCTAGCTTTTATTAGTTTTCACTGTAGATTAGCTTTTACTTTCTTGTATTCTTCCCCACCTCTCTTTGTATGCTGCAAGTAGTAAGTTTGGTTTGACTGAAAATATGGAAACTAATGGAAAAACCTACCAAGGTAGATTAGATTCTAAAAGCTATATATGCCAATAAACATATATGATGCTATAAACTGTACCTTTCTAGTCTAGTGTTTGGAGAAAATATGTCAGCTACTCTTTCTCACACCCCAAAATATCAGGCTGGTTATACTCAGTATCCATTGGAAACTATATGGCAAGATCACAGGCCCTACTTGGAATTTTATCCCAGTTTAAGGGATCTGTGGATGACCACATGGATTTAAGATCACATTTGGTAATTATTTACTCCTTCTCCTATTATAAGGGTGGTAGATAACTTAGCAAATAGTATCATCATTTTCTGACATAGAAATTCAGGACTTAACTTTATTACCTTTCATTTTTGAAATTCATTAAGCTATAGGATTGATATATGTAGGTATATGATATATGTATATTCTAGGATTTTTACATTGCTTCACCTCTCTAAGCATTAATTTGCAATTTTTGTTTTTACATAGCTTCCTACTCGTATTCATATAGTATAAAAGCTTTGCCTATAGTCAGAAATTCTAAGAAAAAAAGGAAATTCTAAGTAGAATTCTGCTGCCCTTACTTATCTAGTGTTTCAAAGAGAAAGAAAGTCTGCTTCATGCATAAAGAAGCTTTGCAAGAGAGATCTTTATAAAATAAAAGCATGTGATTCAGGGTTTTCTTCTTTCTTTCCCCCAAAAGTTCAAAAATATTTTCTAAAAATGATTGCAAAAACCACAAGAAATGCCAATAACAGTTTCTTCTTTTTAAGAACTACGTGTGACAGAATCAGTTGAGAGCTATCCCCAAGAGATGTCTGCTTGGATATAACTGAATATATTCATTGTTGGGAGGGAAGGTAGGAGTAGGCATTTTCCTTCCCACCACAGGATAACCCCTTCTATTATAACTTGTTCACCAACAAGTTCTGTGCCCTTAATAACTGAACCTAGAATGCTTTTTCCCACTATCCTGTGTAATTACAGTTTGTCTGTCAGAGTATTTGCTACCAGTCATTGGTGTCTTGGTTAAAGCTTTCTTCAGGAAATTGGTTTTCCAGTATCTGTAGAACATTCCAGTATCTTCATTATTTCTAGCAGAATACTCTGTCTTCCTACACATGGCATAATCCGGATTATCAGTCACCTGTTACATCTGATAGCATTGTCATCACTGTACTGTACTTTGGAGAAGTTCAGGCTTATTTTCTCTGATGTGTTAGTTTTCAAAGATCTACTTTGAAAGATCTACTTTGTAGATGCTATCTACTTCTACTTTTAATCAATGCAATATTTTATTAATGTCCATTAAAATATCACTAAGTTACTAAGGAGCTGTATAAAACCACAGTTATGGAAAAGGTTTCCCAAATGCCAGATTTGGTAATAAGTCAGAAATTTAAGAAAATTAAGTTATTCTTTCCAGGTATTTAGTGATTTTTTAGGTATACAATTCAATGGCATTAAGTACCTTAACGGTGTTGTGCAACCATCACCCCCTATCCATTTTAGAACATTTTTATGATCCCAAATAAAAACTCCACAACTATTTAAGCAATAGCTCCCCATTCTCCCTCCCCGACCCCAGCTCCTGGTAACCATTATTCTACTTTGTCTCTATGAATTTCCCTATTCTAGATATTTAATATAAGTGGAGTCATACAATATTTGTCCTTTGGTGTCTGGCTTATCTCACTTAGCATAATGTCTTCAAAATTCATTACATGTTATAGCATGTATCAGAAGTTCATTCCTTTTTATGGCTAATATTCCATTGAGTGTATATAGCACATTTTGTTTATCCATTCATATGTCAGTGAACAGTTGAGTTGTTGCCATCTTTTGGCTGTTGTGAATACTGTTATGAGCATTGGTGTAAAAGTTTGAGTCCTTGTTTTCAGTTCTGTTGAAACTATTTGAGGAACTACCAAAGTGTTTTTCATAACAGCTGCATCATTTTACATTCCTACCAGCCATGCTCAAGGGTTCCAGTTTTTCCACATCCTTCCCAGCACTTGTTATTTTCTGTTGTTTTTCAAAACTAGTAGCCATCCTAATGGGTATGAAGTAGAATTGATACACTCTTAATACAGTGAAATGTTACCTCATAGTTAGTTAAGACTCTACCTGTCAGTTGGCATGTCTTCTTAACTTAAACTTTGTAAACAAGATCTTTGTTTAGGGACTTCCCTGGCGGTCCATTGGTTAAAACGCTGTGCTAAGTGTCCATCATCGGATGAATGGATAAAGAAGATGTGGCACATATATACAATGGAATATTACTCAGCCATAAAAAGAAACGAAATTGAGCTCTTTGTAATGAGGTGGATGGACCTAGAGTCTGTCATACAGAGTGAAGTAAGTCAGAAAGAGAAAGACAAATACCGTATGCTAACACATATATATGGAATTTAAAAAAAAAATGTCATGAAGAACTTAGGGGTAAGACAGGAATAAAGACACAGACCTACTAGAGAATGGACTTGAGGATATGGGGAGGGGGAAGGGTAAGCTGTGACAAAGCGAGAGAGTGGCATGGACATATATACACTACCAAACGTAAGGTAGATAGCTAGTGGGAAGCAGCCGCATAGCACAGGGAGATCAGCTCGGTGCTTTGTGACCACCTAGAGGGGTGGGATAGGGAGGTTGGGAGGGAGGGAGATGCAAGAGGGAAGAGATATGGGAACATATGTATATGTATAACTGATTCACTTTGTTCTAAAGCAGAAACTAACACACCATTGTAAAGCAATTATACTCCAATAAAGATGTAAAAAAAAAAAAAAAAAATGTGCTTCCACTGTAGGGGGCTCAGGTTCCATCCCTGGTCAGGGAACTAAGATCCTACATGCCTCTTGGCCAAGAAGAAAAAAAAATTAAGAAAAAGAAAAGATCTTTGTTTAAAATAAGACTGGTGATGATGATGTGATGATGATGGCACCCATAGATTGGGTTTTTCTTTGCCCAAAATGACGTTTTGTTATTAACTAGAATGATTAGCTTTGTGCTACAGAATATAATGTCATATTGAATTAAATAATTCATAAAGGCTCTAAGTCATTTTTGTTTGACTTTTTAAATTTTATTTATTATTTATTTATTTGGCTGCGCTGCGTCTTAGTTGCAGCATGCGGGATCTGTAGTTGCGGCATGAGGGATCTTTTAGCTGTGGCATGTGGGATCTAGTTCCCTGACCAGGGATCAAACCTGGGCCCCCTGCATTGGGAGCACAGAGTCTTAGCCAGTGGACCCCCAGGGAAGTCCCTAATGTTTGACTTTTATATACCTATAGAAAGAATATATAATTAAGTTACAAATAATATATTGCTACAGTTTTAATTATTTAAATAAAAATTTGCCAAATTCCAATAAGACAGAAAATTGGAATTTATCAAACTTGAAAGTAAGTTAGATTGCCCTTGCTGTTACTTGGGGATTCAGAGGTAAAAGTAATGACAAGAATGTGATGTAAAATAGTACTTCCCAAACTTTAAAATGCAGAAGGGTCACATGGTGATTTTGATAAAATGCAGATTCTAATCAGTAGGTCTCATGGGGCCTGCTCTTCTGCATGTTTAACAAGCTCCTGAGTAATGGCAATGCTGCTGGGCAGGGGAACACCCATTGAATTGCAAGAATTTAAACTATTAGTGAGACAGAACCCAATTGATAAAAAATACTTTACAGCTCTTAAGGCATGAGAGGCTAAATTATAAATATTAGGTAATCTATTTGGAACTTTTAAAAATGTGTGAATAAATGTACTGATGAAAGAAAATCTGTCCTAGTGGTATTGAGCTTTAGAATCATGCTTCCAGTTCCTCTATTGAAATGCTTCATCTCTCAGTAGTCACTGTGCCTCAGTGTTCTCAACTTTACATTTGGAACAGTACTTCCCACCTGTGCTTTTACCTTGATGTTGATGAAGGATACTTTTAAATTGCCTTTTCCACGTTTTCCTCTTTAGGGAGTGCCTTGGTGAAGCCCATGAGCCTTGTGACTGCCAAACATGGAAAAATTGGCTACAAAAAATAACTGAAATGAAACCAGAAGAACGTAAGAGGAATTTTAGATAGCTACATATTTTATAATAGCATTCAAAAGATAACGTGGTTTTATTTCTTAGAGTCTTCATTTAAAAATGAAGTTTTAAGTTTTCAAGTTTGTTAATGCGAGAGCCCGCCTTTTTAACCCCTCTAACCAACATCCTTTTGGAGATCCTGGGGTGGGGAAAGCATAGACAGGTTCCATGTTTCTAACGGACTTATTAGGACTCCAGGGTAAACAGGGGTCACATTTAAGTTCTGCTCCTATAGTCCTTCCCTTTTATCCTGGGGTGGGCTAACTAGCTTTTCTGTACTTCATGAGAAGAAATGTATGATCTGTACTGAGAGGAAGCTTCTTATTTCCTTGGAAACTTACAGTGGAGGATAAGGCAAGTTAATTTCTTGCTCTTATGTGGTTCTGTAGATTTACTTACATTAAATGCCATGTCTATAACTAATTTTTACTGAGATGTCTATAAATATATTACTTCTGTTAATCCTCACACAAATGCTATGAGATTGATGCTGGTTGTCCCATTGTACAGATAGGAAGCTAACAGATTGGATTGAGTGACACAGGGGAAACAGAATGGGCTTGAATTAGCCTTCCTAATAGCAATTCCCATGTTTGACAAGTAGATATATCTGCTTTGCCATAATTTCTCACCTCCTGAAGTAAATATTTTATGACAACTGTCATAAAATTAATATAAATGAAAACTAATTTGGTGGTTTTTAACATTTTAAAGAATGGTGTTAGTTTGAAGTATTGCAGATGAGGATTAAGAATTCACAAACTTCATCTACACTTATTATGAGCAAAGCACATAATAAAGATGATGCCAGCCTTCAAAGAGTACAGAGGCTAGAAGGGAAGCAGTCAGATAATTACAGTATCATATGTTAACTAACACAGTTGGATAAAGATGAGAATGCAAAAACAGAAACAACTAACTCAGATTGGGGACAGAGGATGTTAAGGAATCTTCCTGACAGCAGCAAGATATGAGTTGGGTTTCAGCATATCCACAGAAGCAGAGATGTGGTGGGTAATGTCAGCAGCTGAAGTGACACTGGGAGAGACTGGCTGGCAGCCATGAGTCCCTAAAGGCTTGTATTATATTGGGCAATATACCATTGCCCGAGAGATTATTCTCAGCAGTTTATATTCACAAGATCGATTTTGTGTACTGACTCGGGGTTATTCAGATCCATGGAAAAGACACTACTTAGGTAAACCAGAATACCAGTTTATTCATTGACAATGAGGGCGATCCCTTTCACATGATAAGGCTCATGTCCTTTAAATGGGAGCAAAGGGAAGTGGATAATTTTAGGATATTTTTTAGTGAGGGCTGATTAATCATTTCTGTCCTGAACATTCATCATTCAGTCAACAAATATTTTTTGAGTACCTGCTTCCCAAATCAAAAAGATTTGTATAGATTGTTCTTGTTCCCCAGGTTCATTGTATCTCTCTCTTGAATACCAGATAGAGCTTGCCATTGCTCTCTGGATACCCACCCATTAGCCCTATCTGTGTATGGGTATGTCTATGTGTGTGAGTTCCATAAAGAGATTAATACCATTACCCTGCAACACCTTTAAACATGACAAGACGACTGGATTTTGTTTTCTTCTCCTGCTTCTGACACCTAGAAACATCTATATTTCTATTAGAGATGGCTTGCTATTGCCCACCTACCTGCATTTCTTTATACATTCTGTGGAGTTTAAAATTATGGTCCAGGGGAGACATTTGTGAGAGATGAGGCTGGAAAGGTAGGTGTTGCCAGATTGTGAGGGTTCTTGCCAAATTGTCTGAATTTTTCCTATTAACAGAATAAGCCATAGAATGCATTTTTTGAATAGGGAAGTGGCATTGTTAAAGATATTTTTATCAAGATAACTGATAACTAGGAAGGGTAGACTAAAGGAGAGTTAGGTCACAAGTAGGAAGGTGAATTTTTAGTTTGGGTCACAGGGTAGATCATGATGTCATTGGTGAAATTAGGAAATTCAGGTAAAGGAGTAATTTTCAGGGGAAAATAATGAATTTTGTTGTGGGCATTTTGCACCTGAGGTACCTACAGGACATATGTGTGGAGATGTCCAGTGGCTTTTAGAAGTGCTTGTCTCCAGCTCAGAAAAAATGCTGAGAAAACTTAGGAGTAACTTGTTGCTTTTAAATAGTATCTTCATTATGTGTTTAGCATTTATTTAGTGCTGTTTTATGTTAGAGTACAGAAATAAGATGCCCTCTATGCTCTTGAAATTTACATTTTAGAGTTGGAGACAGGTATGTACAAAACTCAGAAAAATAAGTATAAAGATGGTGTGAGAGAACAGTATACCTGTGATTCATTGTGAGGGAGGGGAGGGACAAAGGAGCAGATTAGTTAGGAGATCATCTAGGAAAGAGGTAAGGAAAGCTTTATAAAATAATTGATACATAAGCCGTGTATTGAAAACTGATAGATGTTCTTCACACAGACCAGAATAGGAAGGGCATTCTAGGCTCATGGTAAAGTAGGGCTGTGAAATAGCATGGCGTATTCAAGGACTGCAAATAATTCAGTTCAACCAGTGCAAAGGTACAGTGAGAGATGAGACTGCATGTGCAGGGGTGGGGGTTATATGTAATGCTGGGAGGTCTGACTTTACCCCAAGACACCACAAAGGAGTTTTGAGTAGGAAAGTGATAACTGAAGATGTTTGCTTAGAAAAATCATTCAGGTGGAAGTGTGGATGATGAATTAGGGGCTATTGAGATACTAGGTAAGAAAGCTGTTTCTGAGACAACTTCAACATGTCCAGGTGAGAGAACATAAGTGCTTGAACAAGACAGCCAATACAGATGGGAGAGGAAAGGTGTTTACAGGAGAAGTAAGAAGATAACTTTTCATTTTATTAAGTTATTAATCTAGTGTACTTACCAGTTGCCTAAAAGAGTTAATGCACCACAAGAAGTAATTAGTATAGTATTTAATTCTTGAGGAGAAAATGGCCAGAAGTATGTGATTTGAGATATAAAGCAAGTATTTTGAAATGGGTGACTATTTTTAGTTATCCCTTGCCAATGTAAAATTGGATCAATCATTCCATATTCACAAATAAGTCTTATTAGAGAAGAAGAAGGAGAATGACCTGGCTAGTCAGTACAGATTTTTGGAGGGACTGTGACAGATTGTCCTTGCATAAGATAATGATCCTGATAATGAAGACAGAAGAGAAATAGAAGAACTAGTGTATACGTTCACAGTGTATACGAACACAGTGTATACGTGGTTACCTCTGGTGGCGAGAGATAGGGAGACCTCAAGTAAAAACTGAAGATAGTCCTCAAAGAGTCCCAAATAGGATTTTAATTCAGAAAGATGGAGGAACTTTAGAAAATTGGATAGGAGGCAAGAGACCCAGGACACCCGCAAGTGGTCCACTGCAAAGGGAGCCAAAGCCAAGACTGCAGAGAAAATTCCCCATTGCTGAGAAAAAGTTGTCTCACTGTACTGATGTGTAATCACCACAGTGAAACTTGGCGGTAACCAGCAGACTATTAATGGCCACTTTTAAGTTTATGAAATTTAGGGTAAGGCCTAAAGCAAACAATAACAGGCCACTGTAATACTTAAGTAGAACATCACTGTTAAATATACAAAAATAATACTCCAAAAAAGAAAAGTATGATTTAATGCTGTATTGGGTTCACATATTAATTTGGGTCATGGTCACATATCTTTGGCATAAGAATTTTCAACCGAACTTGTAGATTCATGAGATCGTTTTCTCCCTTATCCCTAGTTTTCCAAAGTCTTTGAGTTATGAGACTTAAAAGGAGTGACAAAATCTAATTGATCAGAAAAATATTAGAAAATATACTGAGCTCAGTTGAAAGAATTAATTCCATATAAAGATTGAAATACTGTTTTTCAGTACTGAAACTGCCTGTATTGCAGCTTATCAGAGCAAGAAGCAGGAATGATTATATTTTCTGTGAAATGATAGTTAATTTATAAAAATTTAAGACCAGTTTTTTTCATAGTACATACTCAGTAATGGTTATTGAATGAAATTCAGTAGTCTTTTAAGAATTCAGTCTTTAAAAGCAACTTTGTTTTCACTTGAGCACATGTTGATTCTACTAATAGATCTGAGATTTTTATACTGTAATACGTGATTAAATGAAGTTAATTTTTCTTACAAAGAGACCTAAAAGCACACTAGATTATTAAGGAAAGAAGATCAAGCTATATTAGACATGCATCTGAAGTGAAGAGTTTGGAAGTCAGTAGGGATGGAGAAGACTCACCAGGTAGATTGAAGGGAGTTTGGGTATTGCAGGTATTGAGAAAAGTATGTACAAAGGGCAGATGTATGAAATGAGCATGTTCAGAGCACAGGTAGTAAAGGCATTTCTTCCCGTTCAAGTTTTTGTTGTACTAAGGTTATATTCTGAACATGATTTACTTCATGTAATCCTCTAGAATGCAGTCAGAAACTAGCATTCTCTCCAAGGGTAGGAGAATAAAACTGTTAATGTTGCAGGCCACACAGCTGCTTTGTTTTAATGGCTTTGTGCTTTATTTATTATAACAATGGACAATAAAGGTCATAAGAATATGTTGGAGACTCTGAGCTAAAAATAATGTTGATGCTAAAGGGAGGAGAAAGGCCACTACTTTAAACAAAAATTAGACACTGTACTTAATGATTAGGTTTTATAGCAGTACCCTTTGTAAACAGCATTACCTTCACAGCTGACCTTCATAGCCATTAAGTATAGTATGTTCCTTCTGAAACTCCTGTTCTCCACCAAATTATCTGAGCATGCTCTGCACCACACCCTAATCAAACCATCTTCTACCAAGTGGCCTTAGAAATGGAGTGCAGTCTGAGCAGTTCGTTGCTGCTATTGTTTCTCTCTGCTATGTGGAATTGAAAACCAGTGCTTTACAGTCCAGCAGTAGCTGCTGTTCTGTTGTTGACACAAACTTAAGTCGGTAGGCACCCAGGGTTCCTTGCAGCAAGACACCCCCTGCCTCCACTCCTCCACTGCTAGGCTCCATCAAAGGGCTGTTGTTGGTGCTCATCTCTTCCAGTTCATATGCAGAGCCAGTTCCCAGGGGTCAGACAGCCCAAACCTTTGTCGCCTTTCCTCTCCAGGGATTTAAATCTGGAGGTTGAGTAACTTTTTCTTTTAAACTTCAAAACTTCTGATTTCTCCCCTGCTTTCAACAGTAGGGCTAACCTGTTACCCAACCCTTCCTAGAATATCTGCATATAATGAGGGTCTTAACTGAATGGACTACTCTTAAGGATTTCAAAGTGATTTTCAGACATCTCTTTCAGTAAAGAAAAGATAGAACTTCCCTATGTACTTGAAGTTAGAAAACAAACTTCATTACTGTCATTCTTGCAGGAAAAAATAATTTTTTAATTATGTGTCTACCACTCTCTCCAGCCCCTAAATCTCTGCATGCGTGGTGGTGGAGATTTATAGAACATAAAATGTAAAAGTTAGAGTCTTTAAAAACCCTGGCATTCTTTAAGAGTGCAGATCTCAAATTAAAGTAGAATAAACAGAGTTTAAGATGATGAAGAGTATAAGGTTAGTGTGGGGATAGAGGGTGGGAGGACCTTACCAGTAGTTAGTGGCCAAATCATGAAGGGCTTTGTATTCTTTGCTAAAACAGTTTGATTTTATCTTGTAGTCAGTGGGGAGCAATTAGAAGATTTAAAGATTTGTATTTTTAAAAGATCACTTTATAGAGGCAATATAGTGTGGGTTGTGAGGGTGGGGGGAGAAGGATCTGGGAGCTAGGTTGGTTTCTGTGTTTTAATTGTCTGGGAAGAAGGTGTGGACGATCCTAGCTAAAGCAGTAAGAAGTGGGAATGGAGAGAAGATAGATATGAAAGAGGAAGAGATAGAATCAATGGGACACAGTAGATGAGGGAAAGAGGAAGGTGTCCAAGATCATGCTCTTCCTGGATCTATTCTGGGTAGAAGATCATATCATTTAACAGGACAGGAGATAGAGAAAGGAGCAGATTTGGGGGAAATGATGAATTTACTTTCAGACATGTCATTGGATTCATTTTTATTTTGTCTTAAATAATCATGGGTAAAAACTTTGCCATAGACCCTAATAGGAAAATAAGTATATATTTAAAATTGAGAGACAGCCTGCAAAGAAAACTTTGAGTGTTTTTCCATCTGGAGTTGTACACTAAATCATTTATTTCTGTATTTGTGCTTTATATCCCAAAGTTGTGGGAGTTAGTGAAGCTTATGAGGATGCTGCCAACTGTCTCTGGTTGTTAACTAACTCCAAGCCTTGTGCTAACTGTAAGTCTCCAATACAGAAGAATGAGGGATGCAATCACATGCAGTGTGCTAAGGTAAGTTAAAGAGGATTGTACAATACATGCTTTGCAGTTAGAACCTTCATTTGATTGTGAATCCAAAGAAGAAATGCTGTAAGCATAGGTATCTTATTGGCTTTCAGATGGATTCTAGAAGATTGTATTCTACATTCTTTGTTAAATAACATAAATGTTGGTTTATATTACTAAATTTTACAATCATGATGAATGTTAAAAATAAAGGTAAGGATTCAGTGGTACTTGGCCAGATCAGAAATGCCTGAGTCCTTCCCTCCCAGTCACCCACTCCCCCAGTGAGGATTCTGAGAGAGTTTTGTGTATATATAAATAATGTTAAATGATCGAGTGCTACCTTACATAGATCTCTTGAAAAGCTGATTTTGGAGCACACAGCATAGTCTCAAGGTCCAAGTCAGGCCCCAAGCAATCCCCGTAAGTCCAAATTTAAATCCTGGTGTCTATATAAGAAAGGTGCCCGAAACAGTGGGCAGGTTTGCTAATGAAATCATCAATTAAATAAGTAACTCATTACTATATTGAAAATGAAAATGTCACTTGGCTAAAAATTATTATAAATAATTACTGTTAGAAGGCTACCTTCCTGACCTAGATTGCATAGAAAGAAACTACCATATTTAAAACAAATATTCTGGAATTAAGTTAATAATATTTTATTAATCCATGCCTACATTTATGAACATTTTTGCTTAACTGTAATATCTCAGTTTTTTTCCTTTTCCTTGGGAATGCCATGTATATAAAAATAATTATTTAAAACTATTGAGAGAAGAGCAATATAATTTTTCTAATTTAGGATGTGAAAGAAACCCACATAGTTAAGATTTCAGTAAAATACATCAATATCTTCTCTTTAAGTACTTCTTAATTTTTTACCTTGAAACTAATGATCATTATTATTATGACTTCAAAAATAATGACAGTTACCAGATGATTTTATATTATAATAAATTAACATGAATGAATTGTCTTAGTGAGACAGTAATGATTTCCTAAGAAGAAAAACTTAGTAGTGTTCTGAGTAAAATGCTCAGAATTGCTTATTAGTTTAGCTGATCAGGCCAAAATTATTTCATTTATATGCAGTCCTATGTCCAACATCCATATTAGTTTTTTCTTGGACAGTCTGATATAGGCTACATAGATGTGTAAAAAAAAAATACATGTTGACCATAAAAATCAGCAGTTGGGCTACTAATAAAAGGGCGGGATCCAACATTACCTTTATTTCAGTCATAGCACCTACCAGCAGTAAGTAGTTGATAGATATGTATTGAGTGAATGAATATTTTCATGAATTAATCAGGCTAATGATGTAAGGTAATTTATCTTAAACAGATTTTGCTTAAACTTCATTTGCATATAAAAGAAACATTTACTTACATACTATGTAAATGTAGTCTTATTTAACCATCTGAAGTATTTGCATTGAACAAAGGAAACTGATGAGTAATTCTCATGACATAAAAGGAGACATCTAGGAAGTGAAAGTGTTTATACTTTTATAGTTTTTTTAAAATGTGGGACAACAGGTAATATGTAATTGAATCTATTTTCTAACACAATGACTAAATCATAATATACCTTTATTAATGCTTCAATATTGATTACTACTCAGTAGATAGTTTTTACTTTCTGGAATCAAATTGTTAAACATTTTAAAAGAATGACAGGTTTGGCCCTATAAAAATAAGTTCATTTATTTTAAAAACTCTCTTTATTCATTTCCCTTTAGATAATTTTCAGGAAGCTATTTAAATATTGCATCCTTACACATTTTAAATCACTTACAGTAATTTATTGATCTGGCTCTGTGGAAAACTATGCTGCAACTAAAAAATAAAAAATTATTAAAGTTCTATATTCTTTTTCTTACCATAGAATGTAAAATTTTGCTGTTTGTAGAAAGTTTTGCCACTAATTTTGAGAGATCAATGGAGCTGTACTGAAGGGTACTTGGATCAAATCAGGCACAAGGTTTGCTTTTAGCAGGCAACAAAAGAACTTGCGTACTGTCAGAACCTTGAAACAAGTACACAATTTATTGTGTAAGTACATGTTTGTGAAGGGCTAAATGAGGACAGAGACTTTAATTCAGCTCTCTGTTCGTGACATACCAGGTAGAGAAAAAATTAATGAAGATAAGACTTGACATAATGACTAAGGTATTATCTGATTACTATATATTCAGACTCTGTATCCTGAAAAGATGGACTCATGCCATATTTTCAAGTACCCATGGAACATTCACCAAAAAAATTAACCATTGATCATCAAAGAAAATCTAAATAATTATCTAGAAAATAGAGTGGTGTAATCAACATTCTCTGATCATAATGGAATAAAATAGAAATGAATAATAAAGTTACAAAAAGCCTTTTCATTTGGAAATTTAAAATCTCTCAAACAACTCGTGAGTAAAAATAAAATAGAAATTAAAGAATTTCTATAAATAACTACTTTTTCAGAACCTGAGGGCTATATTTAAAGCAATTCAGAAATGTGCATAGCCTTATTCACTTAAAATGATACAAAATAAGGAATGAATTAAGGATATGACTCAAGAAATACAAACTTGAAAACAAGGAAGAAGAATTTGTTTTAATCAGAAATCAGTGAGTCAAAAACTGAAAAACAATACAACTAATAAATAAATCCAAAAGTGGTTTTCTGAAGGAAAAAAAATAAGATAAACCACAAAGCTTGCAATAAGAAAAATGTGGGGGTGAGGGAGTTCAAATACACAATATAAGAAATAAGGGGACTGGGACTTCCCTGGTGGCGCAGTGGTAAAGAGTCCACCTGGCAATTCAGGGGACACGGGTTCAGTCCCTGGTCCGGGAAGATCCCACATGCCACGGAGCACCTAAGCCTGTGTGCCACAACTACTGAGCCTGCGTTCTAGATCCCATGAGCCACAACTACTGAAGCCCGCATGCCACAACTACTGAAGCCCGCACGCCTAGAGCCCGTGCTCCACAACAAGAGAAGCCACCGCAATGAGAAGTCCACACACCGCAACAAAGAGTAGCCCTCCGCTGGCTGCAGCTAGAGAAAGCCCGTGTGCAGCAACGAAGACCCAAGGCAGCCATAAATAAATAAATAAATAATTTTTAAAAAGGGGACTAATCAATAAACAAAGCAAAGTAAAATAATAATAAGAGATAACTTTGCTCAACTCTTGCAGATAAATTTGAACTTGGTTTTGAAATGGACTGATTTTCCAAGAAAATATAATTTATTGAAACTAACTCTAGAAGAAATATCCAAACAAACTCACTCCGTAGAAGAAAGAGTTTTTCAGTGATCTCTCCTTTAAAAGCAATAGGCCCTAACAGTTTCACAATAGAGTTTTATCAAAGCTTTAAAGAATAGGTAACTCCAATGTGATTCAGACTGTTTCCAGGACAAAAAGAAAAAAAAGAAAATGGAAACTTTCAAATTATTATTATAAACTGAGTAGAACCTTGATACCAGCACTTGACAAGATTATAAAAATTAAAACTGTAGATCTGTCTTATTTATGAAGAAGAATGCATGAGTCCTAAATAAGATATTGGAGGGGAAAATACAGATATTAGCAAATGTAATCTAGCAGAGTGCATTAGAAGAATAATTGAATATCGATTATATTTCAATGAAAAACATGTTTTTAATTTTAAAAAAAGACCAGTTAATCATGTGGGGTTTATTCCAGGAATACAAGAATGGTTTGATATTTAGAAAGCTATTACTGTACCTCATTTTAGTGGTAGATACAAGAAGAAAAACCATGTAAATTTTCTGTAGATGCCAAAAAGGCCTTTGACAAAAACTCAACAACCATTCTTTATAAGACACACAAAGAAATAGGAATAGATAGATTCTTCCTTTTATCGCAATAGCATGATAAAAATAAATCTATCTTAGTCCAAAAGTTAGCATGATATTTAGTGGGGAAACTAGAGGTACTCTCACTAAAATTGAGAACAATATAAAGATACTCCCCATGACAAATATTATTAACATTGGACTGGAGATACCAGTCAACATAATTTGACAATGAAAAGAAATTGGGGATATAAAAATTAGAAATGAGGTGGGAAAATTGTCAATTTTTACAGCCAGCATGATTGTATACCTAGAAAGCCCACAAGACTCAACTGAAAAACTATTGCAAACAATAAAAATTCAATTAACTAGCAGGGTACAAAAGTAATATGCAGAGAGTAATAGCCTTCACGTGTGCCAGTAACATTCAGATAGAATATATACTGAAAAAGAAGACCTCATTTATCTAGAAAGAAACTTAAGAAATGGATAAGACTTACATGAAGAAAATGTTAAGACCCCTATCTGTAGGACACAGAAGATGACAAACAAATGGAAAGATAACAAAGTTCTTGGATAGAAAGATTCCAACAAAAATACCAACAGGTTTTGTTTCTGCATCTAGATAAGCTAATTAAAAGTTCACATGGAAAAACAAAGTAAGAAGAGCCAGAAAACTCTGAAAAAGAACAGTGAGGAGGAACTAGCCTTGTCAAACAGTAACCCATACTATAAAGGCTCAGTAATTAAGACAGCATGGTGCTGGTACATGAATCTACAGATCAATGAAACAGAATAGAAAGAAAGCCCAGAAAATAGACACATAAATGGGAATTCAGTATATGGTAAAGGAGGCATCTCCAACCAGTAGAGAAACATGGACTGTTCAGTAAATGGTATTGAGACAACTGGGCAGCTATGTGGAAAAAAATAAAGTTTAATTCATACTGAATACCCAAATAAATTCTGAACAGATCAAATATTTAAATATTTTTTTAAACAAACTCTAAAAGTACCAGGAGAAAACATAGATTTAAATTGGAAAGATCTCTCTGACTCAAAATCCATAAGCATTTAAGAGAAAAAAAGATATATTTTCATACTGGAATACTCATATTTTTTGGCATTGTCTGCAAATTATGGTAATTAAGAAAGAGAATTTTTTTTTTTAATGAGAAATAGGTTTTATGTTAGCTGTTCTGATTAGAGGCCTTTTTAACTTATTCCCAGTTTAAAAATCAGTTTGTCAAAGTCAACAGAAGTTTTCAAATACACTGGTGGAGCTTTATAGACCAAGGTAAGATTACTATGCACCTGAAAAATGAAACATTTGTCAGGATCTGGTTTATTATTTGGAAAGAATATCCCATTGATATTTTTCAAGCTTTCTTGAGATTACTTAATAATATTATGATTTTAATTTATCCTTATAAGCAATAACTTTAAACTACCCCCACATCTTTCCATAGCGCACATAAGGTCTCCAGAGAAAACCTCAAAAAGAGGAGGGTGTGTCTTTGAGAAGATTTGTTCCTGGTCACACAGGCAGGATTGTTTAATCTCTACAAATTGGTTGACAGGAATTTAGAAAATAATTTGCATATTAACATGGGGCGATATTTGCATATATGTTTTCTTTTGAAGTGCAAGTATGACTTTTGCTGGATTTGCCTAGAAGAATGGAAAAAACATAGTTCTTCCACAGGAGGTTATTACAGATGTACTCGCTATGAAGTCATTCAGCATGTAGAGGAACAATCCAAGGAAATGACTGTGGAGGTAAAGAGAACTGTAGAAGCCAAGATCTCTAAGCCACTTAATACCAGTGGCAGTGTTTTTCATTTCTTCTTTTCCTATCTTATTGTAATGAGGCATTTTAATTCAATACACTTTAGAGTAGCCTTTAATTTAAACAAAATAGCTCTATAAACTTGAGCTTTTAATTTTCCTTTTTTTATATTGGTGAAGATTAGACAAGACATATCCCAGCATGTCTCTAAAATGACTTAAAAACAATTTTAACATTATATCAACAATATAATATTATGTTATTGTTTATAATAAGTATCTTAGTCTGCTTGGCTGCCATAACAAAATACCACAGACTGAATGGCTTAAACAACAAAAATTTATTTTTCATAGTTCTTGAGACTAGGAAGTCCAAGATCAAGATTTCTACCAATTCGGTTTTTGGCAATGACTCTCTTCCTGGCTTATAGACAGTTATCTTTTTGCTATGTCCTCACAGGAAGGAGAGAGAGCAAGCTCTGTTGTCTCTTCCTCTTCTTATAAGGGCACCAGCTCTATTGGATTAGATCTCCACCCTAATGACCTTGTTCAACCTTTATCATCTCACAGGCCCTATCTCTAAATATAGTCACATTGGGGGTTACACCTTCAACATATGAATTGATGGGGGACACATTTCAGTTTATAGCAATAAACAACATAATAAAACATTGAAGATCTAATGAACTTAAGGTTTGAGAGACATATTTACCTTACACTCTGGGAATTGCGGATTCAGTGGTTTGTCACAGAGAATACAAATACAAGACTTTGTTCTGGGAAGCGTTTAAAATGTATTGGTTATTATTTTCTCAACAAAATAATCGATAAATCTGTATGCACTACTATCTGTTACTAATAAAATTTTGAAGTGATCAAAAAAAAACAATTTTAATAGCTAGTACTTTTATTTATAAATGTCATTTGTGAACTTTCGTTTCCTAGGCTGAGAAAAAGCATAAACGATTTCAGGAACTTGACAGATTTATGCACTACTACACAAGATTTAAAAATCATGAACATAGCTATCAGGTATGTCCCAAATCATTTCAAATGTGCTAAACTCTACTGTTGTGAATAAATAAAGAAAATGATATATTTATTTATTTCTATTCTTTTAGTTAGAACAACGCCTTCTTAAAACAGCCAAAGAAAAGATGGAGCAATTGAGTAGAGCTCTCAGAGAAAGTAAGTTATAAGTGATATGTGTGATAATTAATATAAAATAGCTGTCATGCTTAAGTCACTTCATTGGTAGGAGGTTAAGACCCTTAAAAGAATACCTTATCTCCATTTGCTCATTTGGCAGTTTGGAGTTTTCAGAAGCCCAGAGTGTAGTTTAGCATTTGAGGCCTCTGGTAAGATTTTCCACCTTGCTTACGTCACCTGCTCCTCTTAGTGCAAGCTCTGCTGCTGGCGGATAAACACACATTGTGGTTTTGCTTACTCTGTGCCACTGCTGATGATGCTCTACAATGTTGGGAAAAGTGAATGGGCCCAAAAAGGCATCCCTGACCTAGTCAAAGGAGCAAGATTCACAAGCCATCAAATTGTCATGTAACTGAATTCCCAAAGATTCTTGAGAAAATTTAGCAGAGTGCCTAGTATAGAAGAGAAGTCAAGTACAGTTTTGGGAGAAATCATGTCACTGGTAAATAGCGGACATTGGAGTCAAAAAGCAAAGTCACGAGATAGGGCTTACTTATGGTTCCTAAAATGGAAGTTCAAAAAGAACATTCCTAAAAATGGATTGAATACTAGTTACATAATTAAAATATAATATCTCAGTGACCACACAGAGTACAGGTTCTGGCATGTTTGTTTTAAAAAGTGACTTTTTTTTTTTGGCTGCTTTGGGTCCTCGTTGCTGCGTGCGGGCTTTCTCTAGTTGTGGCGAGCAGGGGCTACTCTTCGTTGCAGTGCGCAGGCTTCTCATTGCGGTGGCTTCTCTTGTTGCGGAGCATGGGCTCTAGGCACGCAGTCTTCAGTAGTTGTGGCTTGCAGGCTCTAGAGCACAGGCTCAGTAGTTGTGGTGCCCAGGGTTAGTTGCTCTGCGGCACGTGGGATCTTCCCAGACCAGGGCTCGAACCCATGTCCCCTGCACTGGCAGGCAGATTCTTAACCCCTGTGCCACCAGCGAAGTCCCTAAAAAGTCACATTTTTTAAATAATCACAGCTTATATATAAAAGGTTTTAAGCCTAAAATGGAATCAGTTACCCTTGTGTTTGCTCCATTTTATAAAAGTAATGAGTACTAACACCATTTTCATGAGGATAACTTCCTAATTAAAACAATAACCATAAGTTAAATAAATTAGAGTGGGACAAAAAGCATCAGTAGCAGCTTAGTCTCCTTGTTAATTACTAGTTCTTAGACTGTAGTAATGACATAACTATATCAAGCCAATACCAAACTCTTGAAGTATTATTGTCCACAGTAAAAATTGAAAGAAAAAGTCCTCACAGGTTCTACAGTCTATTCCATCACAGACGTATCTCTAGTACCTAGAACAGTGCCCAAAACATACTAAATATACATAAGTATTTGTAGATGTAAACTACTGCTTCTGTTCAACCTTCTGGAGGTTCTAGACAGCATAGTAAGACATAAAAAAGAATTAAAAGATAGAAGATTTGGAAAGGAAGACATAAAACCACTCTTCCTCCCTTTCTCTCTTTCTCTCCCTGGAGTATTTATTAACTAGCATTAGTTACCCAGTTGTTCCCCAGAATGTTGTGTCTTTTACCTTACAATGTTGTTTTTGCAGAAGCATAATTTATAATTAGGCTTTTTTTTTTTTTTTTTAGCAAGCAACTTAGCAAGGCATTTGTTCTAATTCTTAATGAGTAGAATTCTGCTAGGGATAACCTAAAAAACTTAGTAAAACATGGAACCTTTGAGTTAACCTAAAGCTAGATTTGTTTACTCACAGGGTGAGAACAGAATCCAGGATCAATGTATGCATTCCTTCATGACTGCCATCAGTATTCCTGGGCTACTGCAGGGTGTGCTCCATTTATAAATGCATACACGTCACCTAAATGCAAAACGTATGAGTGTTTTATGTAGGTTTTTAGTCTAGTTCAAATAAATACTATCATATAGCTACTTCAGTTTCTTCTTAGGGATCCTTGTTCTTTTTTCTTTCTTTTAAGAAAACTTAGCTGTTTAATTTTATAATAGTGTATTTGCAAAAAAAATTTTTTCACTGTGCCTGGTTTACTTTATAGCTGAAGGAGGCTGTCCAGATACCACTTTCATCGAAGATGCAGTTCATGTACTCTTAAAAACTCGACGCATTCTCAAGTGTTCTTATCCATATGGATTTTTCTTAGAACCTAAAAGCACAAAGAAAGAAATTTTTGAACTCATGCAAGTAAGATGTCTTTTTTATTAAATTTAAATGCAGTTACTATGAAAAACAGATTTTCTCCTTTTTCAACCACTTTATAACTAAGGTTTATCTTACTTGAGTGTAATTAATAAACAATTTTGTTTCTGTTTTCAGAATGGTTTTTAAAGGAAAAGTTACCGATAATAAACTGAAATTTTCTTTATGTTTGAATTTGTCACTGTGCAGATTTGAATGAGTTCTGAGCTATGCAAACATTTCCTACCACATTTATTTCTTTTTTCTTCTTTTATTTTATTTATTTACTTTTGGCTCTGTTGGGTCTTCGTTGCTGTGTGTGGGCTTTTTCTAGTTGCTTCGAGCGGAAGCTGCTCTTCGTCCCAGTGCGCGGGCTTCTCACTGCGGTGGCTTCTCTTGTTGCAGAGCTTGGGGTCTAGGCTCGCGGGCTTCAGTAGGTGTGGCTCGCGGGCTCTAAAGCACAGGCTCAGTAGTTGTGGTGCATGGGCTTAGCTGCTCCGCGGCATGTGGGATCTTCCCGGACCAGGGCTCGAACCCATGTCCCCTGCATTGGCAGGCGGATTCTCCACCACTGTGCCGCCAGGGAAGCCCCCACATTTATTTCTTTATTTTAAACTGGTTGAGGTTGAAATCTGGCCTAATTCTGATTATGTAATTAGGCATTTTATCTTCAAAAACGAAACAAACCACATTACATACTAGATAGGAAAGTTGCTATTTGCCAGTTCATTTTAACAGTACAACTGAAAAACTTAAGAGTACTTGAAAAAACAAAACAAAACATGTCAGCAAACTGACATCAGTGTAGCTGACCAGGTTCATTGTACATTCCTCTTTTTTTTTGAAGTCACCAAACTTTCTCCTCTTGCTACTGTTTTTATGTCATCCCTTTGAACTCCCCTCTACTAATTTATATCTTACATTTCCTTCAATGCTGAATATTCATTTTCTCCATGAGGCCTTCCAGACCTAACCCCAAATCACAAAGGTTTTGCCTTGCTTCACATTCCTTCAGCATTTACATATAGTCTGTACCATGTGGTCAGGCACTTACATGTACAATGCCTTGAAATTTATTAGTTCTTTTTCACACAGACAAATTATAAATTTTTTTTATACAGCTGCTATATTATACTCACTACTTCTTTGTATCCATACCAACTACATTACTCTAAATGCCTATTGAATGAATGCTATTTTCCTAAAATGTGCGAAGTAGAAACATATGTGAAATTGGAAGTTATATAAAATTTGGATTAATTTCTGATTTCAAAAGAGTTAGATTTAACCAGACAGACACTGGATTTGCTATTGACTAACCCACTCAACCTATAATTTTTTTTTTCCTCTTCTTAACATAGACAGACTTAGAGATGGTCACTGAAGACCTTGCCCAAAAAGTCAATAGGCCTTACCTTCGCACACCCCGCCACAAGATAATCAAGGCAGCATGCCTTGTACAGCAGAAGAGGCAAGAGTTCCTGGCATCTGTGGCTCGGGGAGTTGCTCCTGCAGACTCACCAGAAGCTCCAAGACGCAGGTGAAAAGGATACACACCATGGAACTCATCCTAACACCAGCCACAAATGCTAGCAGGTTTATTTTTTTCTCCAACTAGGGTTCATATTCCTAAAAGTTACTTATACCTAAAATATGGATAGCTGATAAAAGTATGTTAACTTCTTTTTGGTGTTTTTTTTTCCCCAGTACTATATCTATTTTTTTGTTTTGTTTTGTTTTTCATTGTATAGTTTCTCAGACTAAATTAGGCTAGGTAAATTTCACACTTCAGTGAACTCATAATTCAACAAGTATTCTAACGCATCATTTTGATAGTCAAAAACATCTTATAATGTAGAATTTGGAAGCCTTGCCAAATTGTTATGGTCATATTTGTATTTTTTGGTAAGAAGTTGTAAAGAAATTAGAAATCTGATATTCGTAAAGTTTTTTAAGTGATCCATATTCATCCATTAAAGAGCAGTTGAGTTTTCGTTGTTTTATTTCAGACACTTATACTATTTCTGCCATTATAAATTGAAGCATATTTTCTTATTCATATTAATTATAAGCATTAGAAATTCCTTGGACCTTTATTTTTACATAAACCCCTAAAAATAAAAATAGAAGCAATTGTAAAATACTCTGGTATAGCATGGTGATTTTTAATTTTTCCACCATTTTATACAAACATAAAGCAATGTTGAATTTGAAAGAAAAAATTAAAGAATCATTTAAATTATATTCAGTAGTTGATCTTTGGTTAAGCAAGTTCCAAGCAGAGGAATTAAAAGTAATGTTCAAAGGGCAAGGGTCTGATTGTTTGTACTTTGTAGTACTGATAATAAATCAAATGGTATGTCTAATTTCTTTGTAGCTTTGCTGGTGGAACATGGGATTGGGAATATTTAGGATTTGCATCACCTGAGGTAATTGTTTTGTGCGGGTTTGGTTTGGTTTGGTTAGTTATAATTTTCCTTAGTGCAGTCCTGCTTGCATTTGCACCCTCATCTATTCTAAATATCCTACTGAGATTGTAAGCAATGTTTTTTTCTTTCTTTTATAATAATAATGCCTCAGCAGAGTCTACATTTACCTATTCATTGGATTATCATCACATTATTAAATGCATACCCTCTCTTATTTTTAATTACTGAATAGTCAGAAGGCCAATTTATAGCTTACATTTTTGGAAAATGTCTTTAATTAACAGAAATATTAATTTTATTTATTAGAAATGCATTTCTAGTTGTAATATTGTTTCAATCCGAATTTATTAAAAATCTAAATAGACAATCTTTTTTTTTAAGTTATTGCAACAACCTGTTAGCATTGATTTATAATCAGTTACTAAGGTGGAAACTTGACCTTAGTGTTTATGCAGAAAGAATGCTTTGATAGTTGCTCTCTGCTTCTCTTTAAGATTTTCACACTCTTCTTGTTTTCATTGTTGTTGTTGTTGTTGATATACCATCTTAAAATACTAATACTGCAAATAACATTTGCTGCAAATAGAAATAAGATAAAGTGAAAATCTTAATCACATTGCTATTTTCTGAGATTTAAATTGCCACTGTCACTGTTGAGCCTGATTTTAAATGGTTTTAGCAGTTCTCTCTACCTTCTGGTTCTTTATACAACAGTATACCATTCGACGCTTATATTATGATAACCTTTTAACTTAATTCTTGGAAGGCAGCAGGACAAACTATGAAACCTTTATCATTTATAGTCCATATGTTATCTGCAACTGAAAGACAGTGGAATTGACTATTATCCATAAATGACTGTGGTTTATTTAAATCAGATACTTTCTCTTTTCAGCTGCTAAGGATACTTGCAATCACCTTGGTGGCCTTTTGTATTGGTAGATATATGCAAAACAAGATTTACTTGAGGAAGAGTTTGTACTTAGAGCTCTGATACAGAAATTTTAAATTCACTTAAATTTTTAAAAAAATTTTAATATATTAATGAAATTTCTATTGTAAAACAAATTATGAACCTTTTCTTTACCTGACCCTATGCTTGAATATTTCTATGTAATCGTATAATTTCAGCTTTGGGGAATAGTATGGAAAACTTCCACCTAAAAGGAGGAATAAACAAGCTTCAGTTATCAAAAAAGAATACAAAGATTTCAGTATTTCAAGGTAGAAACACAAGTTAGCAAAAATAAAACCTTTACCAGTATATTCACAGACATGTATGCATCATCTTGTGGCTTCTGGCTCTGAAAATAACTTTAGTAATTTCAAAATATTTCTCTTGAATATGGAGGGTCTGCTAATATGACTAACACCATTTCATTTTGTAAAAATATAGGCAGGCTTTTTACCTCACATGTGAATACTTATAAATAAAATTATTGAGCTCTTGTCCTCTTGGGATTGAAAACTGTGAAATTATAAATAACATTTTTCTTAAATTTATTTTTTACGAGTTAATAAATTTTATAAGGATAATTTAATTCACTTTCAGTTTTCTGTTCTTTAAAGTCTTTGGTACATTGAACACCAAGCTTTTATGTAAACCTTATTGCAGATGTAAAGAATTACCACACAGTATGAACCTTTAAAATTCTGCATGTGTGTGACTATCAAGTATCTGCCAAAATTATATCTATAAAAATTAGCTCTTTGCCTTCATATGGATTCTGAAAAAAATAATGCTGCCCAACTTCAGTAGACTTTTAGGTTGAATTTATATTTTTCATTAAAGTTAATTACATCTTATTCTTTTTAAACTAAATTGAGTGAGTCATTGACAAGCATCAGTATTTGTTTTGTGCCACTTTAAAGGCAGTGGAGCCCAGAGGAAACAGCATGATCGAAAAGTCTAAGGGACACCAGAATTTGAGGTCTAGCCCTATAACTTAAGGTCTACTTAGGCTGTGTCTTCCTTAATTTCTCCTCTTTAAAATGTGGATGGTGATATCTACCCCATGGAAGTTCTGGAAGGATTAAAGCATCTGTTTAAGTCACTAACAAAATTGGTGCTCAATAAATGGTGGCTATTATTATTTATAAAAAAAAAAAAAAACTCCTGGAAGCTTTTTTCCCTATAAATCCTAGAACTTCTCACTCTTCTCTATAGCCTTAACACTCTCAAACCTTTTGGAGTATCCCGACTAAAGCCTTTTCATATGCTTACTTGAAGATCTTAGGAATCCATGGAAATTTTCAGATAAGTTTAATTTTATGAAAACAATTTTTTTAAAGCCTGTTGCATGGTGAGAGAATGCCATTTGAGTTTTTTATCAGAATAATTGTAAATATAACGTTTCTTTTACAGGTTTTTTTAACCACTTAGTTTTCTTCAATTTGGAAATATGTATATTCTATGGTCAGAAATAGTTTATTTAATTCAGAGTAACTTTGTACCATCACCAAGTGTACAAAGTAAACAAATTCTCCCTCAAGATAAATCTTAACTGAAATAACGTTTTCTTGCCATCTTTGTCTGAGAAATGTGGTAGTCCTCAGTGGTCCAGTGAACCATGATGACATATTAACAGTCATCCAGTTTTGGATCATGGGCCTCCAGGAAAAGAGGAAATGGTACCCCAGCTCAGCAGTAAATTTAAAGAACCTGAATAATCTCTCTGGGCACTTGTAGTATCTTACGTTCATTTGTTTCTAACCTGGTAGAATGCCTTCCATTCTTTAATTAGGGTCCAATTGCTTACATAGATGAGGGAGTTTGAATAAATTTAACCAGAGTTGTATGATGTAAAAGTTTTACTGGGGTTTTAAAACTTATTTTCATTTATTCCAGTTACTTTCACAACATAAGCATATTGAATATTCTAGAGTAACCAGATAATCATAAACCTGAATATTTTAGTGTTTATCACTGAAAGAATCTATAACGATTCTCAAAATTAGCCTTTTTATGCTGGTGTCATGCACACTGGACTGTCTTCTAGTCTCTTCTGTCTCTAAAATCTGGAAAAGTGCATTTGTATGCAGATAATAGCAGGTAGGCCCAGGTTCTGCCTCTGGTGATAGCAAACCCACTTTAAACTATTATCACAAATATAAAATAAACTCAGGGACATCTGCCCAAATCTGTGTTCTTCCCGTATGCTAAATAGAAAACACTTCCCCCTGCCTGGGTTGTAGATAACCCCACGTATTAACTAATATAGGAAGGAAGCCAAGTAACATCTTATTTTAAAGGTAACCTCATATTCTTCTTTGATGTGAGTATGGTATGTAGTAGTCCCAAAGAATACAGAATCCAACAATCTAACAAGCACTTAACTGTTAGTGCTTTTCTTTATTTTATCTTTTTCTTTTATTTTCTGTTGCATATATCACAGTCATTTTTTTTAAAACCAGACCTCCAGAGAGGGCCTAACTTTTATTAGTAAAATCATTCTGGTATTAGTTATAATATTAGATAACAAGACCCAGGCATATGAAATAAGGCTCAGTTATGATCTAGCATTGGAGCTTGCAAGTATTCCCAATTTATCCAGACAATTATAATGGCTATTTAAAATTTTTTCTTTTTCCATTTTACCATTTCTGTTTCCTTGGCATGGCAATACCTGCAGTTTCTTTTTCTAAAGCCAAGTGATTTTATAATATGTATATAAAATCACACATTTTTTTCCTAGAAAAAAAGTGTATTGTTTGTTTTATTTGCATTTAAAAATTTGCATGCTCTCCTGTATTTTATAACCTTTGGTTTATGCAGGAATATGCTGAATTTCAGTATCGGAGGAGGCACAGACAACAACGCCGTCGAGGAGATGTGCACAGTATGCTTAGTAATCCTCCAGACCCTGATGAGCCAAGTGAAAGCACTTTAGGTGAGTTCTTGAGTTGGGTTTGTTTTAATCTTAGTTCTCTTGCATTTATTGTTAAAAGTGGCTAATCTAAATATTTGTGAAACAGTTTGTAATTTAGATATACAGTCAACATGCCGATGCTTCTAATGTCACAGGATACAGAAAACCAGGGCGATTAAGAACATGCGCTGTGCAGTTAATGGCTTCCCTTTGTGTCCTTTATCCCATAACTTCTCACATGGACTCTGGCCTTTGTACATCAAGTACAGTCAAAAAAAGATGCTATGTGACTTCTGAGGCTAGGTCACAAAAAGGATATAGTTTCTGCCTTTCTTTCTTTCTTCATCTGGGACACTTATATTTGGGGCCAAGCCAGAATGCTATGAGGAAGCCCAAAGTAACCAATGTGGAGAGATAGTATGGAGAGATCATGTGGAGAGAACTGAGATCCCCTAGCTGGCCCCTTAGCCAGCATCAATTTCACCAGAAAGATACATAGGTGGCAAAAAAAAAAAAGCACTAAAAATGAGACAGGGGTTTCCCTGGTGGCACAGTGGTTGAGAGTCCGCCTGCCGATGCAGGGGACATGGGTTCGTGCCCCGGTCCGGGAAGATCCCACATGCCGCGGAGCGGCTGGGCCCGTGAGCCATGGCCGCTGAGCCTGCACGTCCAGAGCCTGTGCTCCGCAACAGGAGAGGCCGCTGCAGTGAGAGGCCTGCGTACTGCAAAAAAAAAAAAAAAGAGACAAGCTGGGACCTAGGTCCCTTTGCTGAAGTGCTGCAATGCTTGCACCTGGACACACCTCTCTCTGAGCAACAAAATACAAAGAAACTATATGGGACTAAAAATAACTGCGTGCATGTACAGTTGGGACAAATTATGGACAAAAAGAAACAAAAGACCCAAAAACTCAACTGCCACTTCTGAATAGCGGGGAGCAAAAACAGGGTGTTGGGAGCAAAGGCAGGGTACTGCGCATGCCACCTGCACTCAACACCCCCAGAGGGGTGGGCAAAACACCTAAGCCACCCCCCCACACACCACTGGACACACCCCTACCCTCCCCCCATATAAGGAACAAGCTCGCCTCCCCTTGGGGAGCGAGCAAGCAAGGGAACCTGTTGTTTGTTAGGGAACCTGTTGTTTGTTCTCGCTCCCCGCTGCTGCAACAGGGGCCCCAGTAAAGCCTTGACTGGAGGGGGAGGAAAAAAAAGTACATGGGCTGTGGAGTCAGACAGACCTGAGTTCATGACCCCAGCTCTGCTGCATATCAGTGTGAAACTTTAGTCAAGTCACTTACCCTCTCCGAGCTTTGGTCTCCTCATTCTAAAGAAGCAATAATAGGGACCTCCCTGGTGGTCCAGTGGTTAAGAATCCACCTTCTAATGCAGGGGACGTAGGTTTGATCCCTAGCCGGGGAGCTAAGATCCCACATGCCTCGGGGCAACTAAGCCTGCGCACTCTAGAGCCGGTGTGCCACAACTAGAGAGCCTGGGTGCCGCAACTAAGACCTGAGGCAGCCAAAATAAATAAATAAAATATTTTTTAAAAAAAGAAAAAACAATAATAGTATCACTTTGTGGGCTTATTGTGAGCATTAAATGAGATAGTAAGTGTAAAACCCTCAAGTACTAATAGCACCTAGTGAGCACTCAATAAATTGTAGCTGTTGATTACTGTTATTGTGTTCATGAAATATTTTTCTCCTAGCCTCAGTTCTCCTAGCAACATTTTTTTTAATTTCTGGTGTTAAAGACAAATTATATTAATTATCAGCTTTAAATATTAAATTATTAATTGAAAATCTTCAAACTATGGTGTCAGCAGATCATCTTTAATAAATCAGGATCGACAGGCCTTAAGATGGGGCTACTCCTTCTTGCGGTGCACGGGCTTCTCATTGCAGTGGCTTCTCTTGTTGCAGAGCACGGGCTCGAGGCACGCGGGCTCAGTAGTTGTGGCTCACAGGCTCAGTAATTGTGACACATGGGCTTAGTTGCTCTGCGGCATGTAGGATTTTCCCAGACCAGGGATCGAACCTGTGTCCCCTGCATTGGCAGGCGGATAACCACTGCGCCACCAGGGAAGTCCTTCTGTAGTTTTAAGAACTCTGAAAACTAAAACGTCTTTCTTATTGCTTAAGGGGAGAAAAAAAGCACTTGGTAGCACTTGTATTTGTGAATAGAACCATTTATAATGCAAGCAAAAACATTAAGAACGATCATGGATTTGAAGTAATAGTGTTAGATATATATTGCTGTTTATGATGAGACAAATATGGATGAGAAATCTCTGAAAGATTAAGTGAACTTGTGAACACAGGTTTTCACCAGCACTCAAAGAGAAATCATCAATTTAAATAAAAAGATGTATGAGATCTTGTATGACTAAATTATCTCTGGCACCACTTGCTTTGAAACAGATATCCCGGAAGGTGGCGGTGGCCACAGGCCTGGCACCTCCGTGGTAAGTTCTGCGTCTATGAGCGCACTGCACAGCTCTTCTCTGCACGACTACACCCCCGCCAGTCACTCTGAGAACCAGGACTCTCTTCAGGTAGCCTTTCTGGGCAGCCTCGTTGCCCCTGCTTTTGCTCTTTCTCTGTTTAGCCTGGCTTCCTATTTTTACTTCTGTTGCTTTCCTTTTCCTTCCTTCCATTCTAAAATCTTTGCTTCAGAGATGTACTATAGGGAAAGATTCTTCTGTTTCAGATTTACCTTAAGTAAATTTTTTTCCCTTTAGCATCCACAAGGAGAAAATTAAAATAAGATTTGAGTAGGTCAGATAATTCTTCTGTATAAATAGAGGTACTATTAATTATCTGTTTGGTAAAAGAACAGTGGTAGACCTCACTGGGTTCAATCATTTTTCCTTTTAAATTTTAAAGTAATTTTACTTTCTGTTGCCTCAGGCTCTGAGTTCCTTGGATGAAGATGATCCCAATATACTTCTTGCAATACAGTTATCTCTGCAAGAATCTGGGCTAGCCATCAATGAAGAAAATAGAGACTTTCTCAGTAATGAAGCATCATTAGGAGCGATAGGCACCTCTTTACCTTCCAGGCTGGACTCCGTCCCCAGGAACACAGATAGCCCTCGGGCTGCGTTGAGCAGTTCTGAGCTGTTGGAACTTGGTAACAGCCTCATGAGACTAGGAGCAGAAAGTGACCCATTTTCAACTGACACCCTGAGTTCACACCCTCTCAGTGAGGTGAGAAGTGAATTCTATCCCTCATCCAGTGACCCTGACTCAGCTGGCCAGGACGCCAACATCAATGACAATCTTCTTGGCAATATTATGGCTTGGTTTCATGACATGAATCCTCAGAGTATCGCCCTGATTCCTCCAGCAGCTACAGAAATCAGTGCAGATTCCCAGCTCCCCCGTGTCAAAGATGAGTCAGAAGGTGTGAGGGATGTGGAACTGATGCTGCCAGAAGATTCAGTGTTTGAAGATTCTGTGGTCAGTGAAGGTAGAGGAACCCAAATCGAAGAAGAAAATCCTTTGGAAGGAAACGTTCTGGCTGGGGAAACAGCATCTCAAGCTGGCGACAGTGGTAATGAGGCAGCCAACAAGGGGGATGGTTCTGATGTTTCAAGTCAAACACCTCAAACCTCAAGTGACTGGCCTGAACAAGTACATTTAGTGTGAGCTGCACACCTCGGGGCTCTAAATCAATTGCAGGTACAGATGGTATGCTAGTGGAATATGCTTTATAGAGATTTGATCCACTTAATTCCAACTAATTATAAACCACTGACATTAGAATTAAATACAAAGGAGTTCCCTTGAATGGTAGCTTCATTTCTGATTTTAACCTTACAGGGAATTAATTTCTTTTGTATTTAATTGGATAGCTTTTCCCCTTTTTGCTGACGAACAGAAGAGTGGGAGAGAGAAACACAAATGAAATAAATAGGTTAGATTCCACATTTTAAGAAAATGCAGTCCTCTGTTTAGCCTAAGGTCAGCAATACTTAAATTGAACATTTAAATTAAAGGCTTACTCTCCAGTCCTTGGGTGGTTTTTCCTTTTTAAAAGAATAAAAGTTTTCTTCATTTTAGAAGTTATTTTGGACAGATCTAATAACATTTCATTCCTCAATTTCTTTGTGCTCTTCCGTAATTTTCTTTCTTCCTTTTTGTCTGAGCAGTGTGAATTGAGGTATCCAAGGCTTCTCTTTAGTGCAGCATCTACCACAGTGTAATTCATTTTAATTTTCACATGAATCAAAGATCTCTTTTCATGTCTATTTATAGTCCACTTGTGCCAAACTCTGACTCGTGCGCTAACAAGGCGTTCAGGTGTGCGGTGTCCTGGAGGGCTCCAGAGCAGTCTCAGCCTTCTCAGAAGTAAAAGGTGCCACTCGGTAGCAATGATATTCCAGAATTTAATGGGCTTTTGTTGCCATGGAGACTGCATTTAAATAAATGTAGCCTGTAGCTTAAGTTAACAAAATCTAATGCTGCTGTTAAATACAGTTTATTTTAATATTAAAGTACAGTTGATTAGCAACAGCGGTGCTGTATTTTAAGAGACACTTTATTGGAAGTGCAATCATAGTTCTTTGTTTTCACAATTTTACAGTGCATTCTAATTACTAATGGGTGCAATTACTTTTAATGGTAAGTGTTTTATAAAATAGAAAAAAAGTGGAGTTTTCATGAGTTATAGTAAATCCCACAATTATTAAAAAACTCAGTAAAACATCCTGCGCAACATGTTACCGTGCCTTTGCCTAACCTAAATGGATAGTTGCCAGTTAAGTAAGTAATTCAGATTTCAGTGTCTCTTCCGAAGTAACTATGCTGTGTGAATTGCAAAGACCTCCATAAAACCACCCATGGCCTTGCCTTTACAGTAAATATAACAACTAAATGTTCAATCAGTTTGTTTGCCTAAATCGCAAATGCTGACGTGTTTGTTGTATTGCACAATACTCATTTGCTGTGTGATTACTGTTTAGTGTTGAAAAAAATCAACTTCCTAGTTATCAGTGTCTTACTGTGAAGAAAATACTGGTCCTAGTTGTAATTAAGATACAATGGTACAGTGTGTAATTAAAACTAGAATAAACTGTTGGAATGGCTGTTTTACTTACATATTATCAAAACTAGCGTAACATAAGCAAAATAGATACGGTAATACTCCATTTAATGTTTTGCCAGATTCTTATCAGAAATCTACAGATACCAAAATTTCAGTACCAAGTTTGTACAGGCAAGTCCTGGGCTGGGTAAAAGGTTATATTAGTATTGATATCCACATGAGTTGTAATTGTGGTTTTCGATTACTTTTTTTCCCAAACCCCGCTTTTGAAATTTTCTTGTACTTTAAACCATATGGCTCAGACATTATATTAGAGTATTTAATATTCCCCTGTTCCCTTAGGATAAACTGTGTGGGAATTGCTCCTATGCCATGGATATCAGAAGTCCACATTAGTTTTTATATCCCCAATTATCAGAAACACTGATATCAATCCCTTTTAAAATTAGTTGGGGAAAATATTAGGTTTGTCTGCAGTGTATTACTGTATATTAAACTGAAATAGTCCATTAAAGGATTTTTTTACAAATTTATTTTGGATTGAAAATATCAAGACCAATCAGTTTTTAGATCAAGTTTTAATTTTTCAATAGAAAGAGTCTTTGTATCACATTGAGGCGCCTTGCAAAGCTGCAGTAAGGTGAGAAGGAGTGCCCTGTGTGCAGACAGTATAGCCGTGGGTTCTGGTTCCTCTCACTTGTGCAGTATCCTGTGTTTCTGTGGTGTTCTCTCCTGAGCATGAAAACGATCATTATCCAATTTGTATTTCCTTGGTACATATTTTAAAAACATAGTCATTGACTTTACAATTCGCAAATAAAGTTTGGCAAAGCCTATTTTGTAAACAAGTTAATTTTATAATGTAAAAAAAAAAATTACTCTAACCTTGACTTGTTATTTGCACTTTCATAGTCTATACTTGATACATTCCCACTTTATATACAGTAGGATTCTACAAACGTGTAGATGTTTAGCCAAATGAATGCTGTTAATAATATGTAAAATTCTTTGATTAAACATTTATTACTTAAACTACTTCACTTTTGTCTCATTACATTATAGACTTTGTTTAACCAAGTCAGGAAGCTGATCTTTTTCAAGTTAAATTTCCTCCAGTATGATGGGATTGATATGGTTCTTACATGTAATAGATCAATTCCTAATATTTTTTACACTAGCCCACTTACTGAGCATTTTATACCCCAGAGATAAGTCCAAAACATTGCATGACAATGCGTTAAAACACTGTGACTTCAACAATCATTATTTTTTATCACTGTAGATTTCAGAAGAAAAGTGTTGTGATTTTTCCTTGAAATCTCTAATAGAAACATACAGAAAAATAGAATTTTAAGATATTTTGCGAAATTGCTTAGGATAGGAAAATTTCTTATGCCATATGAATAGAAATGCCTACTTCTCAATCATTTTGTTATTTGTTCCCATCTGAGTTATTACAACAGCCCTCGGCATCTGTACTTCAATGTGCGCAGGCACAAGTTCCAGGCCACCGGCTGGTGCTTCACAGGATGTGCCCGTGATAACCACCAAGAGTTGTAGTCTTATTTGTGCCTTTCATTGTGTGGATCTCAAGCTTAGCTCCAATGTCCGTATGCATGTTTATTGCAGCCACTGATCTCATTTTTCTTCCCTTTTTAGTCCTCAAATATTGTTGCTTACCTATTATGAATTAAAATCAGAGACTTATTGAAGTTTGGTCATAATTTTAAAAGTTATAGTTAGTAAATCACTAAAGAGTAAAATCTTGGAATCTAAATATTACATGATAATACAAATTTGGGTTTTTTTTTTCTTTTTTTTTAAGGCTGAAACAAAAACTCCATAGGAGAAAAGTGTTCATGTGCTTGGCTCTTGGGCTGAGTAGTAGTATCTCAGCCCTGGACTATGGGCATAGTTCCTAGGTCATCACCTTAGCAACAGTATGTTACTGCCTTGTCAATCATTATCCCCTTCTCTCTAGAATAGATTTCTTTATAGAAAGATGTAAGCGGCTCTTTCTACATTATTACATGACTGTCATTATTTTAGGAACTGGGAGTAGTCATACTTCTTAAAGAAAGATGGACCAGAAAAGTTTCCCAAATGTAGCTCTCTGTTGCACTTAGGACTGACAGGTGGCTGACAAACTTAGTGATGGCGAAACTTTTGAAGAAATTCTTCTTCTTTTGTCTTTAAAACTGTAATTTGAAAATATTCCTGATCAGACTATATATCATCTCTTAGCCAGCCGTTGCATAATGGCCTAGCCTGCACGAGGCATCAGTTTACAGACAGGCTGAGAGAGATATTCATGAAGGAGTAAAGAAAATACAATATAGAGAAGGATAGTTATTAGATGAGACAGTCCAGTCCTCCTGGGCTTCTTATGTGCTTGCTCAGGGTGCTAAGACTGCAAGCCCTGACAAGAGTTTTGCCTGGACCACTCCTCAGGATTTATGTAGTAAGCTTGAGGACAAGGAGCAGGCTTGCTGTCGACGCGTTGGATTCCTCACATTGTTCCACGGCTGCGACACAAACCCCCTGCACACTTGGCATTCATCTAGGCCCATTGTGTTGCCCCTGTGGAACTGGGGACTTGAGGAACTGGCACAAGTATGCTGACATGCATTCTGCATGCTGTGCCCTGAGTGATAAAGGTCTTTGCCTCTGACCCAGGGTCTTGTGTCTTCTGTCAGCATCCACAAAACTCTGACAGGCTAACTTACTGGATAAAATCAAATCCCAGACCTGACAATTTTGGCAGCGAGGAATGGAATGCTGAAAGAGACATGATTTTGTAGAAGAGGAACCGTTGGGCCACGTTTGAGAATATAAGACTCCCTGGAATCTGTCTGGTAGTGAATGCTCTCACTCAAGAGATAGCTAAGAGGTGGGGGAAGGATAAGGGCTCTCGCTGTCCTACCTTTTACTGAACAGGAGTTGAGCTAATGTTTACAGGCTTAACGAAAAGAAGTAGGGTTGAAACAAGCTGTCCTGTGGGAATGGTGCCTTGATTGTTGCTAACTCCTGCAGGCAGACAGGAAGGAAAGTTTTCATGACAAAACAGCAATTCTTGTGGCCCTACCTGAAAGGCAGTACGGCTGTGGCTGCTGAATCAGGGAGCCCCCAGATGTGAACTAAACGGCATCAGCAGTAAGAACCGTGCTCTTTGATTGAGAGCTTTGAGTGGACCAAAAACATGAGAAGTTCATGTGGTTGGGCTACAAGCAGTCCAGCACTGTTCAGATGCAAAAGTGACTGCAAAGCCTTGCCCACAAGTGCAGATCAGGCTACCCTTATGCCCTGGCCCATGACCCCTGACCCCTGACGGCAGTGAGGATGTGAGGATGAAGCGCTGGGTGCAGGAGGGACAGAAGGTGCCAAGGACTCCAGGTAATTGCGGAGGTGTATGTGGGGAAGAAAGAAGCCCGTGGGCCCTGTTCTCTCTGCATGTTGTCATGCGTCACCACTGTTGTAGGAGAAGTATTTGCGCCAGTGTTCAGGCACTGGCCCTGGAGCGAGGGGCTAAGGGGGGAGAACAGGCCAACAAGTGTTCTCCCCACAGACCTGCCTCCCCCATCTCTTGGGCTCCTTACCCTCTCAGCTGAGGGACAAGGTGATCCGGCATCCTTTTGCCACCTGATGTGTGTAGCTTGTGACTCACGCACTTTATTCAGCCGGGAGAAAGGAATTTGGACACACTCCATAGAGGGGAAGGGAGGCTTCCCTTGTGGGTGGGGCCCCTTGGCTGATTGAATATAATGCAGCTCCCAAATCTGAATGTTTAATGGAATTGACGATTATGTGCCCACAATTACCTGTCTCATAATTATCCGTGGGGCATCTCCCAGTAGGGACTGCTACACGTAGAGAGGTTAGAAGTGGAGCATAAATCACTCGCCATTCTGCCTCTTTGTCCCCTCTCTGGTGGTCCAACAGAAACAATGTAGAATTCCAAGAGGAGAAAGTAAAATCATTCCATGTGTTAAAAGACTTGGTGGCAGCCCAAGTGCTCAAGCCGTTTCCCAGCACAACATTGCCACCTGCCTGACGCAGCCACCTAGTACACCATTTTGGAGAAAGGCAGGTATTAACTGGCTCCTAGGCTCTTCTTGAAACTGAATGCCTGACCCATGGAAGCCTTGGGACTCACTGATGTGACATCTCCACTTCAGGGTGGGTCACCTGGCACTGGAGAATTAACATGGGCCCAACAGGCCTTGCAAGTCAAACAAATGGTATGTTAGAGATCACAGCTAGCCTGACTGTAGCAGCAAGTATCTTAATTCTACATGAAAAATTAGTAGCTACCTTTGGGGGATATTTTGTGTATATCTTCACTGCCTAAAGCAAAGCCACTGGCTTAGTGGGAGGTGGGGGGGTGTCTCAGTTCACAGAATGCCCGGGTTTGGTTCAATTGCTTGGCAGCAACTTTACCAAATCCCAGCAACATTTTCTTATAGCTATAGATAATTCTAAAATTTAGAAATATCCTAAAAATATGGAAAGGCAAAGGAGCTAAAACTATTTTGTAAAAGAAAAAGTACACTTGATACCAAAAGCATGATCCATAAAAGAAAAAATTGATAAATTGGACGTCATCAAAATTTAAAGCTTTGTTCTGCAGAAGACCTAATGAAGAAGGTGAAAAGACAAGCTACAGACTGGGAGGAAATATTTGCAAACCAAATATCTAGAATATATAAAGAACTCTCAAAACTAAACAAAAGACAGACAATCCAATATAAAATGGACAAAAGACATGAAGAAACATTTCACCAAAGAGGATGTATGGCAAACAAATAAGCACATGAACAGTTGTTTAACGTCACTATCCATTAGGAAATACAAATTTAAATCACAGCAAGACACTACACGCCTATCGGGATGGCTAAAATGATTAGTAGCATCAACACCAAATGCTGCCAAGGTTGCAGAGAAGCTGGGTCATTCATACACTGCCTGTGGGAATGTAAAGTGATACAGCCACCCTGGAAGATAGTTGAGTAGTTTCTTTAAAAACTAAGCATATACTAACCATATGACCAAGCATTTGCACTCCTAGACATTTATCACAGAGAAGTGAAAATTTAGGTCCACAGAAACCTGCACACAATTGTTCATAGCAGCTTTATGCCCAAAACTGGAATCTACCAAAATGTCCTGTAGTAAGGGAATGATTAACTGTGATATATCCATGCAATGGAATACTACTCAGCAATAAAAGGGAGTGAACTAGTGACACAAATTCCAACAACTTGGATGGATCTCAAGGGCATTATGCTGAGTGAAAAAAATCCAATCTCAAAATGTCACGTACTGTATGATTTCATCCATTTAACATTTTTAAAATGACAATAATAGTGATGGAAACAAATTAGTGGTTATCAGGAGTTAGGGATGTTGGGGGGAAGAGAGGTGTATGTGTGTGGCTATAAAGGGGTAGAAAAAGGGACATTTTTGTGGTGATGGAACTGTCTGTATCTTGGTTACAATGGGGGTTACATGAATTTACATGTGATAAAATGACAGAAATATACATACATATTGTACCCAATGTCAGTATCCTGGTTTTGATATTGTACATTATGTAAGAGATAACCATTGGGGGGAACTGGGTAAAGAGTACACATGGCCTCTCTGAATTATCTTTGCAACATCCTGTGAATCTATAATTCAAAACAAAATTTTAAAAAATGAAATGATAGCAGGCTAAATTTGGTGTGTGTCATATGTTTGCTGACCCTTGCTTTACAGCAACAATCAGATAAATGTTATCTTAGTGCATTACAAGCTATCAATAGTGCTACGACTTGGAAACCACTGATGACATCTTCAGCAGTTGATTGATCTGTTTCAAGGAATTTGATTAAGCAAAAGATACTGAAACTGCCAACATTTGTCTTGATAGTAATGTCAAACATATGCCACAGCATTTTGGCCATTGATATTCTTTGAACCTATGAGTGCAAAGTGGCATACTGATTTTAAAAAGGCCATGGCTAACTGCTTACTAGCCTTTAACATGAGTAGTTTCACTAGGGTCCACTTGTGTATAGATAGATTTGCTCAGCAAACCATGCCTAAAGCTGGATGAGGGAATACCCATTTGGGATAAGAAAAAAGTAACTTATAGGCCCAGGATTTGTGAGCATTATAGAAAGTATAACCTAAATTTTTCTATGGATTCTTTTTCTTTAAGTTTCGATTGCCCCATTATGGACATCTTGGATTGATTTACAGATGTGCTACCCATCACTGGATTTGGGACCACTCCTGACAGATTTTCAAATCGTGGACTCTCTTCTCAAAAGGTGAATTTCTGTCACTGAGAACAAAGTAATCTACTCATTTGATAGACTGACCGTAAAAGGTATGTCTTTCTCAGAGTCCTTACTAAATGCAGAAATCAAAAGGTTGTCATAGAAGCAGTAGAATTTCTTTTAATCAAGTCAGCACTGCTATATGATGGCACATACAATAAACTCACAGTGGGCTGTGTGTGGTTGGGAGCATGGCTGAGACAAGAGAAATGCCTAATGTGGTGTGGGGATGGCAGAAACTTCAATGGAGAAACAAATTGGCCAGTGTGTCCCTATTATATGCAGGAAGGTTGTCTTGATGCCAAAAGAATGTGCAAAATCTCAAGCTTCCCAGTTGAATTTGCTTTCTTGTATGGAATTAATTCACCATGACTTTGGCAGGTGTATGTACAGATGGTGATGTTTTTTAAGATATCCTGACCCAGGAGCTTTAGAGGGTCCTCCTAGATTTTTTGCTGGGTGGCTGAAAAGTCCCTTTCTCTTCCACTTGCTCACATTTCAGAGGTTACGCCCATCTTCAGGATTTTACTGGTAGTAATAAGAGATCATAAACACAATAAAGAAACTCTACTAAAATAGTGGAGATATGGCTAATCTGAAATATGTAATCAAAAAGTCAGGTAGATGTATGTGACTATATTGTTTGTACTTCAGTCCATATGTCTTACTTGAGAGCTGTATGTTCAGTTAAATTTTGAAATAAAGCTCTATGATAAATACTAGAGAGACCAGAAGAGTTCATCTAATTTCCCCATCCTCCCCCCTGCACAATTCATCCATGCTGGAAATGGCCCCTTCTTATCCTCCTGCCAGACACTGAAGTGGTTCAGACCCAAAAGGCTCCCCTTGGAGCACACAGATAGTTTGAGATAGAAACAGAGATCTCTCAAGATAGAATTTACTTCTCCAGTCTGACTCTGGAATCCAAGAGAAAGGCAGAATTCTTTATAGTTTCTCTTACTCTTAAAAAAAGTCAGATGCCAAAATTTTCCCACCAAATGTCCAAATCAAGAGAAGAGGATGGAGTAAATATGGGTTTCAGTAATCAATTTTATTCATGTAGAGGGATGTTGCTTACAGCTTTAAATAGTGCCTGGAAAACTTCCACAAAGTAATGAGCATCTTACAAATGTTTGTAAGTATGTAGTTATGTAGCTCACCTTTTGAATTTATAAAAATCAGAAACGTCCGCCAGAAAGTTTTGCAATGTGACAGTGGAACTAAAAATATATAACAGCTACAGCTAACATTTACTGAATGTTCACTGTCATTTGACAAAAAAATTAAGTATTTTAAAATAGAAGGGCTTATGGTGTGGTAACCTCTGTATGTCTTCACAGACATCCCTCCTTGCCTCTTTTCAGCACGAGCCAGCCTTGGCCGTATGACTACCGTCCCAGTCCAATCAGTTGCAAAATAAAAAGGAAAAGGCTGATTATGTCCATGTAGATGTTCAGGGCAGCAAAAACATACTCTTCAGGGTCCAGGTCAGAATGATGATGGCGCCCTCCCACCATCAGCTGTACATCCATCACCAAGTACTTAAAGAAAAGAAAGAAGAATTAGCTACTTAAATTGTACATTTCTATCAAGTAAGTATCCTAAAATTATCTGGAAAAATTATTTCCCATCAGTAAATATATCACAGAGAGTAAATTTGTGGCTATAGATATTATTCTTACAGCCTCAATCATTCATGATGTCCCCAAGTTTATGCTTTATCTATTAAAGCAAGTGTTTCATTCTCCTGAAGCCAGTGGGACCAAATATATGAGCCTTACTTTCCTTTCCTTCCAAGTCCAGAAAGCTCTGTGCCTTTAGCCAGTGATGTAGACCAGGTGGGCAGATTGGACACAGAGAGAAACTACAAAATGCCCTGTGTTTGTGATTTTCCCACATGTTCTCACTGAAAAAAAGAATGAAAATAAAGATGGTTCCCCAACATTTAGATTCACCCACAGCAATAATTCTGAACTTTCCTTTGGGTGATAGCATTTTTCAAAACTTGACATTGGAGATGGCTTTGTGACGATGTCAGTATTTCAAAATAGAATGAGAAGGGGCTTCCCTGGTGGCGCAGTGGTTGAGAGTCCGCCTGCCGATGCAGGGGACACAGGTTCGTGCCCCAGTCCGGGAGGATCCCACATGCCGCGGAGCGGCTGGGCCCGTGAGTCATGGCCGCTGAGCCTGCGCGTCAGGAGCCTGTGCTCCACAGCGGGAGAGGCCACAGCAGTGAGAGGCCCGCATATGGCAAAAAAAAAAAAAAATAGAATGAGAAGACTCATATATGGTTAAATAAACCCCAATTAAATGTTTTAGCTCAGCTGCGGTAGGTAAAATTATGAGCTTCTAAAGCATCAAGAAAAAAAGTCAGAGAGCCCTCTCACCCTTGTGTTTGTTGCAAAGTGAGCAGATGTGGGCAGCACAAGTGCATTAGAAGGAGGAAAAGAAAACAAGCTGCTCCTCAGGTCTTTATATCCAGCCTGTAGACTAAGAGTCTAGTGCTGTGAGGCAGAGCCGCATCAGACAGGTCAACCCTGGCATTACAAAGAATTCTTGGGGTTTTAAAGACTCTTTAAAATAATCCATTTTAGAACAACATCCACTACAGGGAAACCTGTCCCAAGTAATTCAGGCATCAGCTCTCCCTGTGTCCTGGTTCCCACTCAGCCTTCTAAGAATGAGGAGGAAGGGAGGAAAGAAACAGGAGGAAAAGAAGGGGGCACCTTCTGGGTAGCCTCGTATCAGTTCATGATAGATGTCATCTCATGTAATATGGGAATGACCCAGTTGAGGCAGGTGAGGTTAACAGAGCCTCCAAGAAGGGAAGATCACACTGTAGCAGGTGGCAAAGAAGAGAGTCAAACCCAAGTCTGGGGGTTGCCAAAGCGGCTGCTTCACCTGGACCACTAAGTCCCTTCCCACTTAACCTCCCTCTCCCTATGTCTGATTCCAGTAACTCTGTGGCAGAAAAGGCTAGAATGACCAACCATTCCAGTTTGCCCAGGACTTTTGTGTGTCTTCAGAAACCCCTCAGTCCCAGGGAAATGAGGACAGTTGGTCATCCTTTAAAAAAGGCCTCCAGCAGCTGAGCTTCCAGCCTTGCTCTTAGCCTCCATCTGTCACCCTGGAGTCCTTCTGTGGAAAAGTGCTTTTCTTTCTTCCTCCCCTCCAAGAACCTGTGACTTTATCTTATTTCTTCTTACAAGAGAGATAATGACTCCTAATCATTTCATGTATTGGCGGTTAGGAGTGCACCTCTCAGGTGAGGTTATATGTTTGAAGGCAGACAGGAAAGTGGGAGAGTAAGGTGAGATGGGATCCAGCTGTCTTCCCCCCAACTCCAGGGGAAGAGGGCTCAGGACACCATGCGAGAGACAGACAGCCCACAGGGAAGCCCTGGTCAGGATTAGAAGCCCCAGGAGCATCTGAGGGTTCAATAAGCAATTATCACAAGGTTGTAGGATGCAAAGTTACTATACAACGGTCAATTACTTTCCTATATGCAGCAATGTATAAGTGAAATTGGAAATTAAAAACACAATACCATTTACATTAGCATCCAAAAAACTTAAATACTTAGGTATAAGTCTAACAAAATATGTACAAGAACTATATGAGGAAAACTATAAATCTCTGATGAATGAGATCAAGGAAGAACTAAATAAATGGAGAGACATTCCATGTTCGTGGATAGGAAGACTCAATATTTCCAAAATATCAGTTCTTCCCAACTTGATCTATAGATTCAACACAATCCCAATCAAAATCCCAGCAAGTTATTTTGTGGATATTGACAAACCATATGGAGAGACAAAAGACCCAGAATAGCCAATACAATATTGAAGGAAAAGAACAGTTGGAGGACTGATGCTACCAGACAACAAGATTTACTATAAAGCTACAGTAATCAAGATGATAGTGTGGTATTGGTGAAAAGACTAAACAAATAGATCAACAGGACAGAATAAAGAGCAAAGGCAATACAACGGAGTAAACATAGTCTCTTCAACAAATGGTGCTGAAACAGCTGGACATCCACATGCCAAAAAAATGAATCTAGACACAGATCTTACACCTTTCACAAAATAACTCATAATGAATCATAGACTTAAATGTAAAACATTAAACTCCTAGAAGATAACATAGGAGAAAACCTAGATGACCTTGGGTGTGGTGATGATTTTTTTAGATATGACACCAAAAGTATGATCCATGAAAGAAATAGTGAATAAACTAGACTTCATTAAAATTAAAAATGTCTGCTCTGTGAAAGACAATGTGAAGATAATGATAATACAAGCCACAAACTGGGAGAAAATATTTACAAAAGAAATATCTGATAAAGGACAGTTCTCCTAAATATACAAAGAACTCTTAAAACTCAACAATAAGAAAACAAACAACTTGATTACAAAATGGGCCCAAGAACTTAACAGACACTTCACCAAAGAAGATATACAAATGGCAAGTAAGCATATGAAAAGATGCTCTACATCATATATCATCAGGGAAATGCAAATTAAAATTACAATAAGGGCTTCCCTGGTGGCGCAGTGGTTGAGAGTCCGCCTGCCGATGCAGGGGACACGGGTTCGTGCCCCGGTCCGGGAAGATCCCACATGCCGCGGAGTGGCTGGGCCCGTGAGCCGTGGCCACTGAGCCTGTGCGTCCGGAGCCTGTGCTCCGCAATGTGAGAGGCCACAACAGTGAGAGGCCCGCGCACCACAAAAAAAAAAAAAAAAATTACAATAAGATACCACTACACACCTATTAGAATGGCCAAATTCTGGAACACTGACAATACCAAATGCTGGTGAGGACATGGAGCAACAGGAACTCTCATACACTGCTAGTGAGAATACACAGTATTACAACCACTTTGGAATACAGTCTTACAAAACTAAACATACTCTTACTGTATGATCCAGTGAACATGCTCCTTGGTATCTACCCAAAGGAGATGAAATCATCTGTCTGCACAAAAACCTGCACATGGATGTTTATAGCAGATTTATTCATAGTTGCCAAAACTTGAGAGCAAACAAGATTCACCTCAGTAGGTGAATGAATAAATTAACTGTGGTACATCAAGATGGTGGAATATTATTCAACACTAAAAAGAAATGACCTACCAAGCCATGAAAAGACATGGAGGAATCTTAAGTGCAAAGACTAAGTAAAAGAAGCCAATTTGAAAAGGCTTAATATTGTATGATTCCTACTCTATGACATTCTGGAAAAGGCAAAACTTGGAAACAGTAAGAAAATTAGTGGTTGCCAGGGGTTGGGGATGGGGAGGGATCAACTGGTAGAACAAAGAGGATTTTTTGAGCAGTGAAAATATTCTGTATGATATTACAATGATGGATACATATCATTATACATTTGTCCAAACCCATAGAATGTACAACACCAAGAGTGAGCCTTAATGGAGAGTACAGACTTTGGGTGATTATGATATGTCAATGTAGGTTCATCAATTGTAATAAATGTACCACTTTGGTGGGGGATATTGATAATGGGGAAGGCCATGCATGTATGGAGGCTGGAGTATATGGGAAATCTCTGTACTCTTCTTTTGGCTTTACTAAGAACCTAAAACTGCTCTAAAAAGAATTGTCTTTATAAAAAATAAAAAGGAGGAGGAGGAGGACAAGACAGAGGAAGGAGCAAGTGACCTGGGGAGCTTTCCAGTAAATTACTGACTCCACTTGACTCCAGGCCTAGCAGAGGGCTTAGGGCCCCATCGATGCACACACCATACTCTTTGTCAAAGAAAGGGAGAAATGCGCTTACGAGTGAGAAGATCACAGTACCAAGTCCAGCATACAATAGATGCAACCACTGCAAAAAGAAAGGAAACAACTGTATATTAAGAGTAAGACTTGGAACAACTCAGGGGATCACTTAGGTCACTGCTGTTAGATAAGATATTAAGAAAGTCAAAGATGTGGAGAGAATCTTTTCTTGAACATAGTCAACAGCATCCACTCAATTCCATTCAGCAAGCCGCATCCACATAGTTCTTCAAGAGAATGTGCCCTCCCCTCAGCTCAGAGAACATAGTGACCCTCACACAGCCTTGCTAGAGCTGATTGACAAGAGGTGGATGATAACACTCCAATAGCAGTGAATCTCTTGACCGACCAAGAGCCTCTTACCTGTGACCAGGATCAAACAGATGCTCTAGGCCAGTTAGAAATCAATTCTCAGGATAGAGGAATCCAGGCAGCAGTTCTATCATTAGCTAGTGCTGGAGATATTACTACACAAGCAGAGATAGCCGATCACCTCAGTTTAAGAAAGGGAGGTGGGGTTTCCTTTTCCGTGAATTCTGGCTCTTCTTCCCACCTAGGAGCTCCATGAGAGTCTCTGGGTCTTTGCCTTGACCTAGTCTGAGGGGTATGTGTTCCTTGCAACCGGAACAGCCCTGATCAGAATATGTGACAAATTGGCCTAAATGCCAAAGGGTTTGGCTGTAGAAGAGCAAAAGGAAGTGGTGTATAACATCTGAGAAGCATAATGGCGTTCACTCTTTAGGAGGAGAAAGCTAGTCCTAGAGGCATGGGGAGCACTCTGCTAACCAGGGAAGGTTCTTGGGGAAAGAGAGAAATCAGGAGTCAGTGACACAGAGAGGGAGGCACAGTGTTTCCAGACTGAGCTAGGTGTAAGCAAACAGCTGACAACTGGAGTCTGAAGGATTCAAAATTGCCAGAGTCCAGCAAGGTTGGACATACTTAGAACAAGGGTCTGTCAGTCGTTCACCACAAGATCCTCTCAGGGGAGGGCAGCTGTCGCCTAGGGTCGGAGCTCAATCTTCATGCCCAGACCTCCTGTCAGTGGTCCCCTACCACAACTGGTGCAGCAGGTGGCCTCACAGACCTCCAGCTACGGGGAGGGGCATGTAACTGACCAGGGTCCAGTGGCTGTGTGGTGCAACCCACTGTAGTTTGCTCCTGGGTCACGCTTCACCATCTCAGGTGGGGGCAGCAGGACCTTCCTGGGAGACCCCGGACTGCTGTAATGGTCCACATTAGCTCCAGGAGCCCCTGATGGCACCACATCCAGAGTGCTCCCACCTTCCTTCCCTCTCCTGAACCTGGGGTCACATATGCTGTCGTGGTCTGACAGCTTTTCCAGCCTTCGTTGCCGCCACACTTTTCTCCCACAGACATTTCTCCTATCACAGTCCTTGCAAGTTTCACCCATCTGGTGTCTGCTTCTCAGAGGATCCAGACCAACAACACAACCAGCACTTCACCCTATTTTCTAACAATTCTCTGAGGTTTACAAAGGAGATCCCACTTACATATGATCGTATTAAGATTAAGAGAATTCCATAGATAATAAGTACGAAGAGTAAAACAAACAGCATTCCATTTAGCAAGGTGAAATCGCACTGAGGAAACAACACAAAACCAATTAAAGTATCATCCATAAGCAATTTCAAGGTGTTTAGAGATGCATCGTGTACCCGCTAGACAGAAACTGGCCCATTTGCTAATCATTTCCCCTGGCTAATCCCAAGAACCATGGAAATCCATTAGCCCCTAAGCACTGAAAAATGCTACATAAAAAGTGTTGTATTTCTTCAGGAGGGAGAAAAGGGTAGGATATGGATGAAATAACAGGAGCCACAAATTGATAATTTTTGAAACTAGGTAATGGGCACATGGGAGTTTATTAAACTATTCTATCTTTGTATCTATATAAAATTTTCCCTAATAAAAAATGTACTGAATAAGCAGGATGTAAATTTGTAAGTATAGTATGGTCATAATCATTCATATTTTTAAAAGCATATGCATAGACTATATTAATGGAATTAAATAGACAAAGATGTTAACTGGGTACCTTTTTCACATTTGTATGTATATATTTCAATAAAAATACACATACTAAGCTTTCAAAAATTACTATTAATTATTCTTTTGTAATCTTAAAATTTATTAATATGCTTGTTGGTTTTGCTTCTATAAATCAGTAACCAAGTCAGCCTAGGGAAGATTAGAATTTTTTTTAAAGAAAGAGGAATATTCATCTTCTGGCCTGAAAAAAGAATGGATTAGGAAGCAAAAGAATCCAAGGTATTTTCTTGCAAGAGTGTTTTCCTAATTCCTCTATTTTTCCTATTTCACTCCCTACCCTTACGACACCAAGAGAATAATCTACCAGGTCACCGAGTCTGGTTCTCAGGCAGGAAGCATCAGCAACGCCTGGGAAATGTAAATTATCGGCCCCCACGCCAGACATTGTGAAGCAGCAACTCCAGGAGGAGTGAATTCTGTGTTTCACACGCTCTCTGGGTGACTCTGATGCCTGCTAAGAAAGTTTGTCTAGAGCTGTGCTTTCAGTACACTTGGCCACTGAGCACTGGAAATAGAGTTAGTTCAAACTGAGATTGCTGCAAGTATAAAATACACACTGGGTTTGAATTTCGAAATAAAGAATGTAAGGTATCTCATTAATATTTTTGCTATACTGATTACATGTCGAAATGATAACACTTCACCTATACTGGGTTAAATGAAATATATTATTAAAACTAATTTTACCTGCCTCCTTTTACTTTTTAAACGTGGTTACTAGAAAAGCCAGAAGCCTGAAGGCAAGGACTCCATGGAGGTGAGGCCCACAGAAAGCCGAGAGCCCGAGGGAAGAGGGAGCAGAATGGGTCAGGAGGGGCAAAGAAACATATTCACACACTCCCTTATGACAGAAATCTGCTTCAATAATACGTACTTTTGTTTGAAGAGCAAATAAAGTGAGTGATATGGTCACTAGAGTGGTTCCTGCCGTTGCCCATAACACTTCCTCGGCATTATAGAAACTAAAACCAGAGACTGTGATTATTGTTCACATAACATTCAAAGAAAAGCACACACACACACACAAATGTGTATCAAAGACTTAGACTGACACGGTTCCTAGCAGCAGACCTTGAAGTATTGTCTAGAAACAAAAATCACAATAAATCAGAAGCCTGAATCCCAAGGCCAAAATCCAGAAGAGATGGTTTGAGGTTTGTGCATTCTGGCAGGGTCTAGTGAGCTATTGGGAGTATGTATGATCCCAGCACACAAAGCTACAGGCTATGAATATGGGAAATAAATAACGGAAACAAACATTTCCTTATCGTTCTCCCCAAGACTGACAGAAAAAATTATTTCATGTGTAAATATTTCTTAGAACACAATAGTAACTTTCAACATATTCAGTAACTTAAATATGTATTAATTAGGAATGTGGAAACCAACGTAAAAGCTTTATCTGTAGACCATATTGTCATTAATCAAATAGGGCCATTCACACAGAATCTAAACATTTTATCAGAGCAGGATATGCTATTTCTACTGACGCTCCACCAAAGGTTTCCGTACTGACCTTTCCCATAGTGCTTGGATGAGAATAAAATACTTCAAACCTCAGACGTGGAATGAGGATTGAGACCTCAGTACCAGGGGATGAGCTGGAGGACACACCTACAAAGCATGGAGCTGCACTGGTAGGTGCCAATCCAGGGCTCTGAAGAGGGCTGCACTGGGGCTGCACTGGGTCTGTATGGGGGCTATATGGGGGCTGGAGGGTTCCCATGGTCCAAATGGAGCCAGGGATGGGGCAGTGAGAGAGAGAGGGAGGGGATGAGAGCCAGAAGGCAGTCAAGCTGGAGGATGAGACCAAAAAGGCTATGAGGATGTGCCCAGGCCCACAGTCAGGCTCCAGGACAGCCAGCAGGCCAGTGAGAACTACAGTCAGCAGCGGCTGCAGGGCCTGAGGACATTCCCCAGCTGGTAGGACGCTCCATCAGAGACAGATCCAGAGACTAGCTGGTCCATGGCAAGAGCCAGGAAAGAACCTTCTAGTCTCTGGGAGTAAATGTGAGGACACATCCTATCCTCAGTGCTAGGACTGCCTGGGAGGCTTTGAACTTCGTCAGCTGGCTAATGACGTCCAGGATTGGAGACTGGAAAAGAACCGGAGTCCCGGGAGTCCCGGATTGCCTCTCTGGATCTCCCAAACCCAGTGGGTAAGGCTGATTCTCTACTTTGTTCAACGGACCAAAGTAAGCTGTCTTTATTGACCTTACAGGTTTTTTTTTTAAGTGCACCTATTCCACGTACACATGATATTTTAACAATGTGCTTGCTTTCAACCTTCCCTTTTATAATATTTCTTCTCTTAGGCTGTTACCAGCTTAGAAATAAATAGCAAAACCTTGGCAATGAGAGCTTCCTTTGAGATCAATAACTTTGATCTCTTCTTGAAATAAAGATTAGAACTATTGAAAAAGTGAAAAGAAAACATCCAAAAATTTCTGGAAAAATACCTCTCCCCGTCCCATCGTCTCTTCCCCAGGATTCCCAGTGTCTTTCTATGTCTGGCTTTTAACTCCCACCCCTTCTGAGTGTGGTCTCTGCTGTTAAGTGCAGGAACTGGGAGACTACTCGCTCACCTGGACAATGAGCAGTGTATCCACACCAACTAAGAAAGGCCCCTCAATGCTCCGTCAGCTGAAGAAATGCCCAAATGTGCGTATCAAAGAGACAGTCTTCTCCAGCGTCATGAGGAAACTGTTCTTCCCCGACGCATGATTCACACTGGACGCTGTGTGGTACCCACAGAGAACCTCATCCTTGGCCGTGTGTCCTTGCTCACGTTGACCACCAGGAGGCGCAGATCCAAATCTAGGCTCATCACACTCAAATGCGTGGAACTATGCATTTTGCGCACGAATCTCACCTCTGGCTTTATTTTCCTTCCATCAGATTTCCCCACCAATTTATCTTATCTTCTTATATTTTGCATATATATATATATATATATATATATTTTTTTTTTTTTTGCGGTACGCGGGCCTCTCACTGTTGTGGCCTCTCACGTTGCAGAGCAGGCTCCAGGCTCAGCGGCCATGGCTCACGGGCCCAGCCGCTCCTCGGCATGTGGGATCTTCCCGGACTGGGGCACGAACCCGTGTCCCCTGCATCGGTAGGTGGACTCTCAACCACTGCGCCACCAGGGAAGGCCTATTTTGCATATTTTATAAGCTATCTCAACTCTGATATGGAACCAGGTGAGGAACAAGTGAATTGGTAAGTAAATCTTCACAGGGAAGGGTGGTCAGCAGTTCATGGGAGCAATCGCAAAGAATCTAACTTTCTTTCCAGAACACTAAATCATACTGCGATTCTGTTCTGGGTTTTCCTAAGAGGAGCTAATACTATTGTCAGTGAGTTTCAGAGAGTCCACTACTTCCAGGAGGCAAGAGGTTTGGCCTGACTGGTATAAACATTAATAAACAGAAACCTCAATTGCAATAGAGTCAGGACACATTGAAATAGAAATAAAATAAATTTTACAAAAATAAGGAAAATTACATTTCTTGCACACAATTTGTGAACTCACTCTCCGCAGCAAAATGTGTTTTTTGTCTCTGACAGAGGACAGTCAGGTTAACTGTTCCTGAAATGTAGCCCAGACTCCGGAGTGGGCCTCTCAGAAGCAAGTTTGCTGGCACAGAGGAGTAGCCCAGGGTCCCCAAATTCTCTAGTTTGTTACAAGGGTGTGGATTCCAGGTCATAAGTAAGTTTATGACTTCAAAATTCATCCAAGAGAATGTCTCACAAATAATTTCTATCTGTATTATTCCACAGAAATATTTTCCACAATAAATGGAATGAATTTAATAATGTGATGAAAATATATTTCAGAGATGAACGACAACGGATGCTAATGAGGTTTACTTACAAATAATCCCAGAAGAATGTAATTCGCAGGCACCTGGCGGCGGAGCTTCCCACAGCAAGCAAGTATAATAAATACAACAAAAAATGCTGGCCTGGGGATAATTTAAAACCATGTGTTATTTGCTTATATCATATGATATGTCATATGAGATATTATAGGTAGATAGATATAGAGATGTATTATCTGATAATAAGTATTATAAAGTAAACAAAAATGTAGATTATTACCTTTACCTCCTTTTTTTTTTTTTTTTGCTTTTAAAATTAACTTTTCTCATTGCCATCCATACACAGCTTGTGGGTTCTTTTTTCAAATTTTTTATTTTGAAATACTTGTAGATTCACAGGAAACTGCAAGGGAACAGAGGTCCTGTGTAACCTTTGCTCAGTTTCCCCCCATATTACATATTTAAAGTAGAATACCCAAACCAGTAATGTAACATTGGTACAGCATGTATATACGTAATGCTATGTCATAGACCTATGATGCAAATCTATGTGCAGAACCATATAACCAGCACCACAATCAAGATGTGGAACTATCTCATCATTAAGATATCCTACCATCCCATTATGGTAACACACACACACACACACAAACCCCTAACTCCCAGCAACCACTAATTTGCTTATTTTCCATCTTTATAATTTTGTCATTTCAAGAATGTTATACCTTGGGACTTCCCTGGTGGCGCAGTGGTTAAGAATCCACCTGCCAATGCAAGGGACATGGGTTCAAGCCCCGGTCCAGGAAGATCCCACATGCTGAGGAGCAACTAAGCCCGTGCGCCACAACTACTGAGCCTGTGCTCTACAGCCCGCGAGCCACAGTTACTGAGCCTGCATGCCACAACTACTGAAACCTACGCTCCTAGAGCCCGTGCTCTGCAACAAGAGAAGCCACCGCAATGAGAAGCCCATGCACCACAATGATGAGTAGCCCCAACTCGCCGCAACTACAGAAAGCCCACGTGTAGCAACAAAGACCCAACACAGCCAAAAATTAATTAATTAATTAATTTAAAAAAAGAATGTTATACCTTTACCTAATTTTTAATAAGGACATCAATCAATAGCTAGTGGAAAAAACTTTTAATTTAATCCAATAATACTTACAAGAGTGCGTAGGTGAACCAGGGATTCTTGACCACCCAAACTCTTAAAGCCTTCCTGGTTAAAAAAATAATAGTTTTACACAATAAGTAGCTTATTTTGCTAACTAGTGTAATATTTAAGTAGAAGTTAAACAATCTCATGAGAAGAAAGGGGGGAAACCCTACATGGTTGACAATGACAGATGGGAAAGGAAACAGTAAAACATAAAACTGTATCTTGCTTCTTAAAATAGATTCACAAAAAAGCACAGTCTTAAGTTGTAAGTGAAATTTGGATAAATGCAAATGTCCTAGTGAAGTTTTAATTTTAAAAAATACTGAGATTGATATGTACACAAAGCAAAAGTAATCAAATTCTCATATGTTTGTTTGTAAACACAGATTTTCAAAGGATGGGTTTAAGCCGTGATGGATCATAGTCCCTGAAATAATTTCTGCATTTAATAGAGCTCCAGCCTCCAAGGCCTCCATAGTCTCACCTTTCTTCCTTTACCCAATTTTATCTGTGGAAATAGCTTGGGGAAAATAAAAAAGAAAATAGTGCCCCAAATAAGGGAAAATTCTTAGCTTAGGAAGTTAAACTCCAGAAATCTACCAACACCTTCGCCTAGAAGTTGCCTCAGAAAAACAAAGCGACAGAAATATTATACCCTATGAATGATTAAGGAAAAATAGATAATCTTTTAATGATAAAAATTAAATTGAGCTATTCAGTGAGAATTAATATGGGCAGCTTAATACTTAATTTACATCAGTAATAAAGACTTACCAGAAAAGAAACAGGCTGATGATTGCCCCAGTGATCAGCAGCTGAACTGACAGGAGGAAGAACACTTTTACGATGAAAGCTGAGGAGACAGAAACCTTATTTTTATGACACAATATTCAAAAGTAAAAATATAAATGTAATTACCTATTTTTGACACTTAATGAAAGAAAATTTTCCTCTGATTTTTTTGATGATAGGAAAGGGAGTGCTAATTTAGAGTTGGCCAATAGAGTGACAACAATACAGCTCTGCAGAACTCTCGGAAAAGACTCAGTCCAGACTGTTAGAGGCATTTTATTGAAGATCTGAGGGTTTATCCATGAAAGCCCCCAAATTTTAAAGACCAAACTCAGGGATTTAATTCCTTATTATGGACACCCCATCCTCCTTAGGACCAAAAGTGACCTGAAAGTCTCAGAATGTTGCAAACCCATCATTAGGGATTCAGCTGCACCCCTGCATAGATGGAGCCCAGTGATGCCCTAAGAACTACCGGGGGAGAGGGCGTTTACCCCTCTGCAGAGGGACTTGGGCTGCAGGGAGTTTGCAGAGCTTCTCCACCACTTTTCTCTCTATCCTCCCTGCCTTTAGCAACTCCCTTCCCTCCTGCTTGCGCAGAAACTTGATAACCTGACGAATTGTTAAGTGTGACCAAGGAGTTCCAAGCCAATGGCGTGCCAAAGCAGAGTGCAGGGCGTGTTGGCATCTCTGTTCGCTTACTTCCAGCTGACTACACAGGTTTTCCTGGAGCCCTCAGAATATGACACCAGTGATGACCATTTACTTTTTCGTGGCCTTATCCCAGTTTTAAAAGAAAAAAAAAGAAAGAATGCTGCTTAAAGTTGACTTATAGGATTGTCAACTGTGTCCTTCTGCTGGGCAGTTTCTGTGCATTTGAAGTGTAACAACAAAGAAATAGGACTGAGCTATCTTAATCAAAATACCACAACATATGTGTGCTGCCTACATTAAAATACCCACTTACTTAACATTAAATTCACATCTAGTATGTATCAAGGACTGTGAGGGAATAGATGTTAAATGTGGTCCAGCCACATAAGACCACACATATAGATCAACTAAGTAGAATTGAGAGCCCTAAAATAGTCCCTTACATTTGTGGTCAATCCTACAAATATGGTCAATTGATTTCTCACAAACATACTAGAACAATTCAATGGAGAAAGATGAGTCTTTTCAACAAATTTTGCTGGGACAATTGGACATACACGTATAAAATGATGAATTTGGGCCCCTTTCTCGTATCACACATACACAAAAGTTAACTAGTTAAACATGGATCATAGACATAAACCTAAGAAATATAATTCTTGGAAGAAAGCATAGGTGTAAATCTTTGTGAGCATGGATTAGGCAATGATTTTTTTAGATATGATACCTAAAACACAAGCAAAGAAAAAAAAACAAATAAATTGATTTCATCAAAAGTAAAAGCTTTGTGCTTCAAATGACACCTTCAGAAAGTAAAAGAAAACCCACAAACTGGCAGAAAATATTTGCATATCATGTATCTGAAAAGGGATCTAATACATAAAGAACACTTACAATCCAATTACAAGAAGACAAATAAGAATTTAAATTGAGCAAAACCTGTGGAGTGCCCTCCCACATTGACGCTGGGCTTGGCCACATGACGTGTTGGCCAGTGAGACATTAGCACTGGCTTGATTAATAGAGACTTGATAAATGCTTACACACTGGGGCTTGTCCATCTGGTCTACCTCTTCTTGGGACCCAGCCCCATGTGATGAGAAGCTCAAGCCACAAGAAGAGAGCCAACAACCAACACAAACTGCCATCCATGTCAGGGAGTCATAATGGCCATTGCAGCCTCAGCTGCCAACTAAGAGCTCCAGAAGGCCTCTTTCCAGCCACAAGGTAGAGGGTGAGGGCCACAGGGAGAGAGCAATGAGATTCAAAGCTCACAGTCCATCTTCAAGTCGTCCAGGTCCTAAGAAGGCATAAAGGTGGCAGAGTGTTCACCGGGGACCTAAGCATTTGCCTTGAATTGCCTACCTTCCAACTTCATATTTCATGAAAGAAAAAAAATTCTCATTTATTTAAGCCACAGTTTTTCGGACTTCTGTTACAGCTGAATGTATTTCCTATACAGAATTAATATG